AGAACTCAAGTTATCAACCGAGTTGGCCTCCAGGTATTTTTCCTAATTGAGTTCTTAATAAATGAATTAATGAGATTAATTTATTCGTGCATAAATTAATATAATCTATAGAGTATCTCAAAGGTTTTATGAAAATTTTTATCATACACGATCCGCCTCCCCCGCACCACGCTTCCGCATCCGGATTCAATTCGGGGACCAACAATCTAGCCATCAGAAGCTGATAATTGTGTTTGTAATTTTTTTTAAATTTAATTAAAAAAAGAAAATATATCATATGCTCCCAAAAGATGTGATTTTATTGAATTGAGATAATATGAATAAGTACACATAAATAACTGCCTCGTTAAAAACCTTGCCAAGTAAAATTCGTGGGGAGATCGGGACAAAACCATAGCGAAGGAAAAAAGAGTGCAGTAGGAATAGTAAATTACAAACCTAAGTACAGTAGGGTGGCCGAAATTATTCTCATAGAGTGAGAGGGAAAGTTTTTCTCCAAGGAATTCCACATCATGCATGCATTAGTGTTTGTGAAAATTCGAGTGTTTATTCTAACCCATTTTATCTCATGTGTGCCCACACACACGTCTTCGTGGATTCTAGGAATTGACATGGAAGACATTGGTTTTCTAAACACAAAGCTTTGGAGCAAGGATTGTTCGATGTCAAAGAACTCAAGTTATCATCCTAATCGGCCGCCGTGTATTATTCGTAATTGAGTTCTTAATAAATAAATTAATGTGATTAATTTATTCGTGTATAAATTAATATAATCTATAGAGTATCTCAAAGGTTTTGTGAAAATTTTTGTTATACACGATCCGCCTCCCCTCACGCTTCTGCAACCGAATTCGATTCGGAGACTAACAGAAAGAGCAAGAAAATGAGTGATCGCGAGAAAAAAACTTAGAATCAAAATAAAAAAGACAAGATGAGAGATAGAATGATAGTGAGATGGGAAGTTGAGAGTGAATTGTTGTGTGGGATTTAGGGTGGAATTAAAGGGTATTTATAGGGGATTTTTTAGGGGTTTTTAGATTGTGACCGTTGGGCCCTTCGCGGGCCTAACGGTCGGCCTGTGACGGGCCTACGGGAGGCCCGTGGCGGGCCTAACGGACTGCGGGCCGTTTTGCAGGTCTGGGCCGGGCTGAACAAGGGCTGAATCTGGACTTTGGCCGAACTGGGCTTAGGCCAGGCTGCGAGCCTTCACGGGCTAGGGCCAGGCTTGGGCTGCGGGCTGAGAAGCCGATGCCTAGCTTTAGCCCATCAAACGTGCTGGGCCGGCAAAGGGATATAACAGTACAGTACCGGGCCATGCCGAATCTAGCACTGTTACGGGCTGGGCCGAGCCATCCATGGACGGCCCGGCCCATTTGACAACTCTAGCCCAAAGACAATTTTAGCTTTTAAATTGTGTGGAAATCAACATAGTATAATTAATGATTAATTAATTATTAATTACTAAGTATATTATATATTAATTAATAATTAATAAATAGATATATTTAATAACTAATATATAGATAGTATTTACTTAATTATTAATTAAATATTAATTTATTAATATTAAGTTTTTTATTTTCTTAATAAAATAATCAATAATATAGTAATTATTTATTTAGTTAAAGATTAATTGTCAAAAATTAATTATATAACTTATTAACAATAAAACAAGTAATAATAGGTTATTAAATAAATAATTAATGATTAATATATCAATCATATGTTATGTTAATTATAATCTATTAATTAGTAAATAGTTAATAAATAAAAATAAATAGTAATTACTTAATTAATAATTAATATTAAATTATAATTATCAATATCTAATATATTAATCAATAATAATTAATAATTAGTAATTAATCATTATAAAAAGAATAATTACCAAAAAATGATAATGTGATATATTAAATAATAGATTATTAATTAAACATTAGTAATTAATTAACTAATTATATAATTATGTAACTAAAAGTTAATAATTTAAGTAGTAAAAGGAATATTAATAAATTATGTATATTCTAATTATTTTTTTAATACACTAATTCATTACTTATAATCTAAAAAATATGAGTACATTAGTAACATAGTAATTATTTATAATTAATTACTAATTTTTTTAATTATTTAGCATATAAATTTATTATATATATAGTTTAATTATTAATGTACTCATTAATGATAATTTATTCATTATTATTAAATTATTAATATATTAATTTTTATTTGCTAAATAATTATTAATTATTAATTATTTTATATATTAATTTAAGATTATTAATTACGGTCCTCTTAACTATCCACAACAATTCAACCTTATAATTTACCAAACGCTATTATACTGCTTTTAGAATCAACAACACTTGTATAAATACAGCTTATTAAATACTTAATTACTTTTTATAACAAGTGTATTTCCTTTCAGCACGAATAAAAATAATTTTTTTAAAATTTACAGCATTAACAAACTGCCCCTTTTAACTAACAATTGATAAATTTCCGTTGGGTTTATCCTAACACAACAAAGGAATTTTATAGATTTAATCTGGGAAACTCAAAAAAGTCGAAAAGATCTTTCTAATCCATCAATTCCATAAAAGGAAAAAAAAATCAAAACATATAAAAAAATCACTTAGAAAGAAAAAAATATAAAAGATAGGATATATGATTAAAAACTCCATATTTGTTATTTTCATCGTTTATTATTTACTAAAAATTAATATAAATCCAAGATCTCCTTAGTCTAGGGTTGTTTCGTTTCCCTCCAAAGTCTCCATTTCTGTCTCCAACGAGATCGGGGTAGTCTCATCAGTTTACGAGAGAGGTACTTGATTTTACCATTGTTGAATGTCGTCTTCCTTGTTTGGTTCGCGAGAAAGTTGCTTTTTGAAAGTTTAATTTTCTCTTATTAATATTTTTCTCATTGTCCTCCACAGTTATCGAATTTTCTGTTATTTTCTCAGCAGCCAAACAGAGCTTGGCCACCACTTGGCTGCCGATATTAAGTAAAGGGGAAAAGAATTATTTTTTTGAATCCTTCGTAGTTAAGATTTTGATTTGGTTTAGTTCAATGAAAGTTCATTTGGTGGAACAAGAGTGTTCTGTTAATTCAGACTTCACTTTCAGCGTTTGCCGTAAAAGATGAAAGAAAAAGAATCTAACTTTAATTCCTATTGTTATTTTTTTTAGTTTAATTGATTGTATGTGTTATTAATAAGAATCTTATTGTTTCTCTGAAGCTACAATATAGTCAATTTTAGAGATGAATATGTGCTGCGGTTTTATATTAAATATGATATTCATTAGCTTTCTATTTTCTCAATATTTTTTGGTTATATTGTACGTTTTTTTTTTTGGTTCTTTGCTTTTCTAAGTATTGAATCTTATTGTAGACGACAAAGTTTATGCCCAATATGGAATCTGAAGGTTCTGATGTTTCTCGAGCTGAAGAAATCAAAGTCGTGGCCAATGAAGCGTTTAAAGGTCATAACAAACATTACAGAGAGTTACCAATGTTTTGCACTGATAATGATTAATGAACGACAGCCGTCACACATGAAGACGACCGTAAAATGTAACCAATAAATAACAGACAGTTAAATCTTAAATATGCATTATACAAAACCAAAAGATAAGAAATGCACGTGTTAAAATAAAAGATTAATACAAACATTAATACAATTAGATGCCGACAATTGTACATAATTGCCCAAAATTAGAAAAAATCAAAAAAATCAAAATATAGTAAACAAAAACATGGATGAAAAATAAATAACAAGGGAAAAAAAGGAAATATAGGGAAAAAATAAGAAATAAAATACATGAAAAAAATAAGGAGAAAAAAATTAAAAAATAAATAACGGTGAAAAATAACAAATAAAGAACAGAGAAAAGAGGCAGAAGAAAAAACCTTAGAAAAATACAAAAATTATGAAGAAAACAACAAAGAAAATAATTTTTCCCAAATATACCGACAAAAAAACAAATAAATGAAAAATTAGAAAGAAAACAACAAAACGCAAAACAACCACAAAAATCAGAAGAGAAAAAATCGAAACAATTTTTTTTTTCCAAAGCAAATGGAAAAAGAAAAATGAAGAAATCCAAAAATCATATGAGCTAACGGAAAAACCAAACCTAAAAAACCAAGAAAGCTGAGGACGAAGAGAACAAACAGCGCAAGAAAAGAGTGTGTAAAGACATTGATCTAAAGTAAACGACCAAATCCATGAACGAAATAGGAAAAAAAAATTATGCCTAAACAAATGGAGAAGAAAAAATTAAGAAATCTAAAAACTATATGAGTATAAAGATGAACAGAAAATCCAAATAAAAAAACCAATAAAGCTGAAGACGAAGAGAATAAACGGCGCAAGAAAAGACAAAGCAACCATGCATATAAAATCAAAGAAGAATAAAAAAATAAAACAGAAAACACCCCAAAATATATACGCAAAGAGAAAGAAGATGGGAAGTAAGAAAATTTACCCCAGAAATGAGAAAAAAAAAGATGTAGAAGGTAGCAAAAAAGTTTGCTCCAGAAATGAAAAAAAAAAGATGTAAAAGGTTGTAAAAAGCAGCAAATGGAAAGAGAAAATGAGTAGACCTAGAACACTTATTCCGAAGCAAATGACCAAAACGGTAGAAATTAAGGACATGTTCTTTTGTCTATAAAACTCAAAAAAAGACAACTCAAGTTTTAATTTTATTTAAATTCACGTTCTTTTAAGTTTCAATTTTATTCAATTTTACTCAATTTTATTCAAGTTCTAACTTCAACTCAAGTTATAACTCAAATTCAACTCAAAAATTACACTCAAATTACACTCCAAAAGAACAATCTTTAAAATTCAAATGAAAAAGCATCAAAGGGCAAAATGGTCATTACAACAGTGAAACCCTACCTCCTACATATGTGCTGTGGTTTTATAATAACTATGATATTCATTAACTTTCTATTTTCTCAATATTTTTTGGTTATATTGTACGTTTTTTTTTTTTTTTTTTTTTTGGTTCTTTGCTTTTCTAAGTATTGAATCTTATCGTAGACGACAAAGTTTATTCCCAGTATGGAATCTGAAGGTTCTGATGTTTCTCGAGCTGAAGAAATCAAAGTCCTGGCCAATGAAGCGTTTAAAGGTCATAAATCATTCTTCTGGAATCTGCTTTCTAGGGTTATTACTAAAATTATTTTTACTAAAATATTCGTTATGGAGGTGTTGCACCTACCTTTTGATGAATAGCGGTGCTTTTAAATGGAATTCAGACCTGAAAAAACCATGAACCGTCTTGAAACTGTAGTCCCGTTGGGGACGCCGACAGCGAGTTCTGCAGACTCCCAAGACTGTGGTCTCAGTTTGAACACGGTCATTGGCCTTCTAGGTCGTAATAGTGTGAGGCAAAAACAAACAGAAATTCAAGTGTCCCGCAAAAAATTAAGAAAAGGAAACTAGAATTAGTGTAGTGAGATAATAAGGCTGATGCTTTATAGGTCTATTTCTATCTTCATTGAGAATCCTCTTACCGTTTTGTAGCTTTTCAGTTGCTTTCCTTTGGTTAAGAATGGTTTCTGTCTATGTTATGTAGTTTTATGTTTTCAGCTGTGTGTGCTAATGTTGTCAATTTGCTTTCAGCTCATAAATATGCTCAAGCTATTGAGTTGTACACACAAGCAATTGAATTAAACAGTCGGAATGCTGTATATTGGGCGAACCGTTCATTTGCTCACCTTAAACTAGAGGAATATGGTAGTGCCATACAGGATGCTTCAGAGGCTATTGAAGTTGATCCTAAATATTCAAAGGTATGATTTCCATTCTGAGTTCATGGTTATTCTGCATGTAATTATCCTTGATCACCTTCTAATAATTTTATTGTAATACAGGGTTATTACAGGAGAGGTGCTGCTCATCTTGCTATGGGGAAATTCAAAGAAGCTCTCAAGGATTTTCAGCAGGTGTTTTTTCCCTTTTGTTTTTGTTTGATAGATTTAAAGGGAAAGTTGTTTAATGTTCATCGGTAGAGGAGCTAAATGTTTTTTCTTAAATAATTAAACAAATCGAGCATTATGTATAGTTCAATTATGAGGATGTTCTCAATCTGGATTTTTGACTTGGTTGGCCAAAGATACCATGCTTGCCGTCTATTGATAGTGTGTTCCTATGTTTACCTATTTCTAGTTTTTTGCAATATCCAATATCTAGAAGTTTTTGAAGTTGCACAATGTGGCATGGGATTCTTGACTTGCATATGCAAGTGAATTTTATGTTAACTGGATTGGGTTTGAGTGTAATTGTTTGGAAGGACTAAGAGGTTTTTTGAAGATTTACATGAGGAACTAAAGTTCCTTTGGGTTTGGGTTAAGTTCTAGGTTTCTTCACGGGTTGCTTAGTACCAGTAATTTACTGATATTCCTTTTCATTTTTGGCACATTTAAGAAATGTGTAATGAAAGGATTTGAAATTAAGTTCTAGTGGAATTGAAGTTGAAATCAAATTGAAATTGAGTTAAGGTTCCGAGGTGTTCACTTTGTTATTAGGACTGAACTAAAGTGGTAATGACTACAAAATAACCTTATGCACGTAATTAAAGCACGATTCAAGGACATAATTGAGGGAGGATAGTTTAGGAAATTGGGTATCCCATTTCAATTAGGATTTTAACCTTGCTATTTCATGTTTTTTTTAAAAAAAATTCTATTTCATCTTTGTGTTACACTAGCATTTAATTTATTCTTTTTTTTAATCTAAAATAGGTCAAGAGACTCTGTCCAAATGACCCTGATGCTGCCAGAAAGCTGAAAGAATGCGAGAAAGCAGTAAAGAAACTTAAATTTGAAGAAGCAATTGTTGTACCGGTGTCTCAAAGGCGTTCCATTGTGGAGTCTATCGACTATCGTACTATAGGTATTACTAATTGCTTCATATTTTAATGTCTTTTCATTTTTATAATTAAATATTGTTACACGTGGTGTTATTTAGGTTTATTTTCTTTTACATATAAACATTTTCTGGTTTTGTTAACTTTCTTTTCCAAAATTTTGTAGTTGACTGGCCGTATACCCAAACAATGTTTCTGCTCATTCTGTCTGAATTTGTTGTTCTTGATATAATATGCTCATAATTCATGCTTGTCTTGATTGTATGTATCTAATGCTTTAAGACATAGTAAGATGCATATTGCATAGTATGATCCGAAGCAGCAAGTTTGTCAATCCAAACCCTCTGCTTAAAGGTCTAGCTTAAACTATGATTTGTTCATGAGCCTTACTCAATGCATGTCTGATGTGATTGCTTGAGTCATTGCTATCTCGTCTGTTAGCGCTATAGTATCTTAGCTAGGGGGTTTATGTCACTTGTGGCTAGATTCATAGAACTCAATTACAGTTTATGTCAACCTATGATGAGAGGCTAGACCTGATGTTAAGACCTTTTCTGACAAAATAAAAGTGCTCCCACGATAATGCTGATGAGCTTATGGATAGACTCGTGAGTCTTGCTAAGTTCTCACAATATCCCTAACACTCACTCTATTTTGTTGTTTTAGGGGTTCTACGTGTCATTATTGGAGGTATCCACATGTCAACCTTTGATTGGTGTCTGCAGCACTTTTGTTCTTTTGACACTATATATATACAAAAATAGAAATTTTTGGGGGTTTGCAAATTGCACAATCCTTCTGGTTTAAGATTTTGAATTTCAAAGTATAAACCTTTGATAGGTGACATGATTGGGAAAATCAAACAGTATATAGGTAACGTGACTTGTTAAGCATGGGGTTTCAATCTTAAGTATGTAATAGTGTAACTAGCCCTTTAAGGAAAACCAATTTTGGGTATTTAGTTGGGAGGTTAGCTATTTATGGATTTCAGCTTCATTAGGTTATCAATGCCATCAGGATTTGAAATAATATTGATTTGATCATTACAAAATAACAGACACATTCAAGCCTCGTTCGCTTTGCGGATTCGAGTTTTCAATTCGAGCTGAGATGTGACATTTTCTGAGAGCTTTTAACTGTAGCAGAAAAAGTTAAATGTGACATTTTCTGAGAACTTTTAACTGTAGAAACATAAAACTGAAAACTTGAATCGGTGAAATGAACGAGGCCTCAACTTGTCATTTTTGGGTTGGAAGATTGAGTAATTTTGTTATTTCCTTTTGCGATAATAAGAATGTCCTGGTTCGGATGCACCAATTCCTTCTTGTATTTTATTCAAAATACTCACACTTGTTGAAACGTGAGAACATCATGCAAAGCAATTAGGTTATAGACTTGGTTGGTGAGGATGGGAACTTTATAGTTTGGTAGTTTGTAGCAAGTAGGCCTTTGTAGATTTTGAGATTTTATACTTCAGTAGAGTGCAATTCCTAATATTGGATTAGTCATTTTTCTGAGAACTTTTAACTGTAGAAACATAAAACTGAAAACTCGAATCGGTGAAATGAACGAGACCTCAACTTGTCGGGTGCATTTGGAACTCGTTCCAAAATGATTTTGTTTTTTGTATGAAAATGAAAATGAAAACGTTTTCAATCTCAAACAGAAATTATTTTTGAAAATGTGTTTGGTAATTTTATCAAGAGATTGTTTTCAGTATAAAAAAACTCATTACTGTCTGCCTCTTTCTCTCTGCTCGAGAGAGGAGAAAACGAAAACAAAAAATGAAAAATGACTAAAAATCGTTTCATTTCTCTCTCTCATTTTATACTAAAACAAAAAATCGTTTTCATTTCCCTTTTTTGTCTTTATTACACCAAATGCCGTTTTGGAAACATTTTCATTTTTTCTTTCTTGAAAAACGTGACAAACAAAAACGGGATCAATTCCAAACACGGCCGTCGTTTTTAGGTTGGAAGATTGAGCAATTTTGTTATTTCCTTCTGTGATAATAAGAATGTCCTGGTTCGGATGCACCAATTCCTTCCGGTATTTGATTCAAAATGCTCACACTTGTTGAAACATGAGAACATCGTGTAAAGCAATTAGGTTATAGACTTGGTTGGTGAGGATGGGAACTTTATAGTTTGGTAGTTTGTAGCGAGTAGGCCCTTGTAGATTTTGAGATTTTATACTTCAGTAGAGTGCAATTCCTAATAACTGGATTAGTCATCTTTAAAAAGGAAATCTATGTAAATGACATGCAAATACATAGTATCGACTTTATTGATTTTTAAGGTTTAATCATGAATTTATTGTTACCTTTCTGTAGCCCTCCATTTTCTCAAAGATTAGTGTAATGGATGCCATACTCATGGACCAATTGATGGGCCACTGTATTTTTCAAAGCTGGCAACACTTGCTTTAAGTAGGGATAGTAGAGTTTAATTGTGCGGCCACAGAATTGCCAAATCACTTAATAAAGTGGTGCATTAATTTGGCATTCCTAGCGTTACTTTTTCCCCAAATGTAGTTCTTTTGCATGGTCAAAAGAATCAAGTGTTCCTTAAAAAAAAACAGAAAAGCAGTGATCATAAAACTATGGAAGGTGGATAGTCTTGATTAGAATTCAGCTCACATCTATTAGCGTATTCCCATACTGGAGAGAAAATATGCAACTTTAATGTGTTTGCCTATGTATTCCTAACACATGCGAGTATGGGAATTTTCTAGGTAGATTGTGGCTGATAAGATATCCAGTGTCAACGCTACATGAAGGTTCAATAGAATAAAATTGTCATTTGTCCATCCTCTTCCTGAGATTGTTCCCATGATCTTAGATATTTTGATCTTGTAGGCAAGAAGTTTATGTCTCTAACTCTAAGGTATGCGTTAAGTAGCCTGGATTTTGCCAATGAAGATTGATTAATTCATCGATCATTTCTAATGATCAGTGTTGTATTTATTGTATTATACCTCGAAAGTTAATTAGTTTAATTGTAGTATTTTTTACAATGTATCATAGGAGGTGAACCCAATCCATCATCAATGTCCACTGAAGTGGCTGTAGCGGCAGTGGCAGTAGCAGTTGTGGCAGCGGTGTTGATGATAGTGGGAATAACAGTAGCCATAGTGGTATCCACAATATTGGTGGTGCTATTGATGGTGGTGGTCTAGCTGCATGGGTGGTATCTATACCAAAAGTCAAGTACATGACCTAGGTTTGAGTTTGCAATAAGTCGTATGTGTAACTCTCATCCATTCCAATATTGAATAAGCTTTACGATTCTAGGAACTAAATAAGAAATAAATTCATTCTCTGATACTGATGGGTAGTGTGACCTGTTGGGCGTGGTACTTAACCTCAAGCTTACAGGATCAAACATTGCATGATTGAGGTTATTTCTTGGTGATATCATTTTTGGCGTCATTACCAATTATTGAGCAAAGGACATTTGATTTCTTTAGCTCATTAAGTTGTGGGATTTTGCTCTCTCTCTCTCTCTCTCTCTCTCTCTCCCTCTCCTGTTGGGCGTGGTACTTAACCTCAAGCTTACAGGATCAAACATTGCATGATTGAGGTTATTTCTTGGTGATATCATTTTTGGCGTCATTACCAATTTTTGAGCAAAGGACATTTGATTTCTTTAGCTCATTAAGTTGTGGGATTTTGGTCTCTCTCTCTCTCTTCAATAGAGTTCTCTAGCATAAGATGATTTCTTTAGCTGATTAAGTTGTGGGATTTTGGTCTCTCTCTCTCTCTTTCTTGTCAGAGTTGATATTATTTTTAAGCTCGTGCTTAACTCTGCTATTCTTTGGATAAGTTACAATTTTTAGATTAGGAAATGATTTATAAATATCTTAAAAATATCAAAATAACAATTCAAATGTAAATCTCACTGAAACAAAATTTAGGAGAAATTCCAAATCTAGTGAATTAGTTTATGGAGTACCAGTACGCTAATAGTGCGGTTGATTTCGATGTATTTTCTCGTTACTAATTTAAAGAAAGTGTAGCTTTATGGAGGTCTAGCTTCGTTTTATGCGTGTTTGTGTTTTACGCATTGGACTAGGAGCAATATCCGTGTATGATTGGGTGCCTTTATTTAAACAGCTTTTAAAATGCATGTTGCTTGAGGATTCTACTTTTATAAATGAGGTTTATATGCTCCAAGCATCTGGTTCTTACATGTTTAGTTGAATCTTTTAGTCTTTTTTCTATCTAATTGGCGATCTTGGTTAAGTTTTTGTAGTTTCCTTTCATGAAGGAACTTCATAACTTGGTTCTTAACCCCTAAGTGTTAAATTTCTTTTTCTTTGACATCCAGATGTGGAGCCACAATATTCAGGTGCAAAAATTGAAGGAGATGTTGTAACATTGGATTTTGTGAAGAAAATGACGGAGGATTTCAAGGACCAAAAAGGCTTGCACAAACGGTATAATGGCAAAAAGAGTATTCATAGTTATACCTACTTATAAATGGATATTCGGTCTATTTTTTATATTTTGGTTTTCTTCGACCTTTAGATATGCATACCAGATTGTCTTACAAACAAGAGAAATGTTGCGGGCCCTGCCTTCCCTTGTTGATATAACCGTTCCGGAGGGTAATCACTTTACTGTTTGTGGTGATGTGCATGGTCAGGTAAATTCTTTTACTCTCTTAAAATTCTGGAACTAGTGCTTTATTTTATTATTATTATTATTCTTTTTTGAAATGGAACTAATGCTTCATTTAAAAACAAGAGCGAGCAAGCCTGGGCTGATAGGAAAATCAAGGGAAGATAATGAATTGAATTGAACGCCTGAGATGTTATAGTAATAAGTGTGTGGTTGATTCTGTAGTGTTGGATGGTAACAATTGCATGGGTTGATAGGTATACAATATACTTCCACTCCTGAAACCGAATAGTACTTAAGAGCTCCGTAACCAGCTATCCTGCCTTGTCAACCAGAAGTTTCCAGTCTCTTAATATTTAGTGAATAGGAACTTCTTGTTACTTGTTTGAAAGACTGTTCAGATCACACGGGTTTTGACTGTCATTTGACATGTCTTATTTATTTATTTATTTTTAATGTTATTTTCTGTTACTTGGTTGCAATGCTAGTATATGTCATTTACACTATTGCGTCTTGAGTTGGCACAATTTTTTTTTTTTTTTTTTTTTTGCAAACTTTATGCTTACTGACTCTTTATCGGTGCTTCGGGTATCAGAATTTTCTCCCTTTTTTCCTTTTTGTGTGTGTGTGTGTGTGTGTGTGTGTGTTACGCTATCTCTAGGAAATACTCTGTGTGTGTGTGTGTGTGTGTGTGTGTGTTACGTTATCTCTGAGCTCCTAGGAAATACTCCAATATTAGGTTCCTGCTTATTACTTAAAACTGTTCTCTTCTTAATGCAGTTCTATGACCTCCTCAACATCTTTGAGCTGAATGGGCTTCCTTCAGAAGAGAATCCATATTTATTTAATGGTGACTTTGTGGATAGAGGATCATTTTCTTTGGAGGTCATCCTTTCACTGTTTGCGTTCAAGTGCATGTCTCCGTCAGGTCAACCCCTCTTGACTTTTTCATTTGTCAGCATTTTTCCCCCAAACTTAGTACTGCGTTCCACCAATATTTTGCTTCTTTGAGCAATTTTTGTCTGATTTTAGTAGCTGCTTAACAACCATGTAACTTGTTACTGGTCTTACATGGGGAGTAGAGTGTGCAACTGTTGACGTATTTTTATTTCATTTTTTAAATTTATCGGTTCTTGATTTTCATAAATAAAGTTCCTTTTCAACATTGACAAGTTGTTTTCTTTTGGCATCTTCTGGAGTGCACCTTCATTTATAACTTTTGTGCCCGCCATCATTACATTTCAACTGTTTGCGAAATTTTTCTTTAACCTTGTAATTTCATCAGCACTTATTAGCATGTTTGTAAAATTTTCAGCAATGCACCTTGCTAGGGGAAATCACGAGAGCAAGAGCATGAACAAAATATATGGTTTTGAAGGTGAAGTGCGTTTGAAGTTAAGTGAAACATTTGTGGAACTATTTGCAGAAGTTTTCTGTTGCTTACCGTTGGCTCATGTAATAAATCAGAAGGTTTTTGTGGTTCATGGAGGTCTTTTTAGTGTTGATGGGGTGAAACTTTCTGATATTAGAGCAATTGATCGTTTCTGCGAACCTCCCGAGGAAGGTAAGAAGGACAATTTTTTCCTTTCCTTAGTTGCGCTATTGACTCCTAGACTTAAAAAGGTGGTGATACTGTGGAATCTGAAAGAGAACGGATATGCATGTGAAGTTATAGACTCCATACATGATCTTACAGGCATTCTGTAAATTCTTCTTGATTTCTTCTGGTGGGCTTTATACTTACCTGGATTTCTTCAGGGTTGATGTGTGAATTGCTGTGGAGTGATCCACAACCTTCATTGGGAAGAGGCCCAAGCAAACGAGGTGTGGGCCTTTCTTTTGGTGCTGATGTAACAAAGAGATTCTTGCAAGACAACAATTTAGGTATGTCTCCTTTTTTTGTTCTCATTTCTTGATCTCAAGTCATTTGATGGTTTATATATATATATATATATATATTTTTTTTTTTCCTACAATGTTCCAAGTCGTTGACTTAACACGTATTTACTCAATGACAGATTTAGTTGTGCGCTCTCATGAAGTAAAGGATGAGGGTTATGAGATTGAGCATGATGGTAAACTCATCACTGTATTTTCTGCGCCAAATTACTGTGACCAGGTAAATCGATGGCAAGCGTTTTACTATGCCTTTTTTTTTTTTGAAAGAAAACAAGTTTTCTTAGTGGTAGTTGTACATTGCCAAAGAAATAGTTATCTACCTGTATCATACATTGGAGTACAGTTAACCTCCATAAATTAATACCCTTGGGACCATGAAAATTTTATTAACCAAGATAATGAGTTTTTTAAGTCGGGACCGGCAAGAAATTTATTTAATTGAGTTTATTAATTTATCGAGGTTTTACTATTGCATGCTAACTTAGAAGGTGAACTGATGTTTGTTGATATTGGTGCAATTGGTGTGCTCTTTATTTACTAATTTTTGTAAGATCGAACCTTTAAGCTCATGCCTAATTTACATTTAACGTTGACATGCAACTTGTCTTTGCAGATGGGTAATAAAGGTGCCTTTATTCGTTTCGAGGCACCTAACTTGAAGCCTAACATTGTCACCTTCTCAGCAGTGGTAGGTTGCTCCTGCCGTTAAAAGCTGACTTTCCCCAACATTTTCTCCAAATGCCATTTTATTTTTCACGCCACAAAATTTCCTTTTAAAGTAACATGTCATGAATGTTTCGTTTGAAACTGTAGCCACACCCGGATGTCAAGCCGATGGCATATGCGAACAACTTCCTCCGACTATTTCAATAGTCTACATCTACATGGCTGACCAGGACTTCCCAAAACTGTATATTATGTTGGTGCGCCATAGATTTTCCGCGGATTCGCTAACCTGCTTTGGAAGTTGACTTGAAAGAGCGCTGATGGACTTGGAGAAATGCAGTTTCGTGTTTGTGGTGATCGTGATCCATAGAGATGCTATTCATTTATTTATCTTGTAGTCACAGTCAGCAAGGATATTTATTGCATTTCGTTTGTTATTGTTTTCCCTTGTGCTGCCCTGGAAGTCAAAGTCACAAACACATGAATCTGCCATGCTGGAAAACTTTTATTAAGTAAAGAGACCTTTTTACCCTTGTAATTACTTAGGGCTTTATCACTTTCTTCCTCTTCTCTCTCTCTCATAGGAAGCAGCCTCCATATTCTCCATTGTCTCATCTCCATTAAGGTTTGGCGGAATCGCAAGGCCGTGCGAGGAGTTCGTTGGTGATTCCGGTGCGGATGATTGTCGTGTCTTTCATCGCTGACATTGAACTCAACATTCTCCTTCCATTAGCACGGAGTCGTTAATGCACAGATCCACTCGTGGAGATTTTGCGGTGTTTTCTTTGGTGCTCCATCGCACAAAGGAGATTTGAGGAGATCTCCTCCACTCGTGACGGAGATCCGGAGATCTCCTCTGTCACACAGAGGAAATCTAGAGATCTTCTCCATCGCAACGTTGGAGATATGTGACGTTAGAAATCCGGAGATATCTGTGCGGAGGAGATTCTAAATTGAAAGCCGAAACTTTTTCTTTTTCTTCTTTTTCCTAATTGTGGATCTGGTGGATTTTTGGTGTATATCTTATAATTTTTAGTGGATTTTTGTGAATTTGCTAAATTTTTTGGTATTCTGACAATGGTGACGGCTATACTACTGTCAATCACGGTGTTTATGCCAATATACTACTAGTTACCGACTTGTATACCACTAGTTACTGCCCCAGATGTTGTTGGTTATCGGCTTGTTGGTTATCGGCTAGATACCGATGGTTCCTAGACAAGATATCAGTGATTATGGTTACTGGTTGGTTCCAGCAACGGTGATGTTGTGGGCAATGGTGGATACCAGTCAGCCGCTAGTAATGGTGGTTATCGGTAGATACTAGTAGGTAACCATTCAGTATCCAGGTGGATATTGTTATTGTGACTTGATATCGACTGGTATTTTAAGAGTATATTTGGTATTCTAAATATAGTGTGATGGCATGACTGGTATTTTCAATAATAGTTTATGTTTTTTTGGCATATGTCAATCTAAACATAAAATCTGTTGCAGTTCCCTTCCCTTTAAAGCTCGAGATTTAGCCTAATTGAGTCCGTTAAACTTGACTCTTTTAGCGTGTTTTATTATGATGTGCTTTAATTTTATCACTTAACTATTTTTCTTAGAATGCATTCGTCTTCTTTTCCCCTTAATTACTTATAACATTCAAAATAGACATTTGAGGGTAATAGGGCATGCATAGGATTTAAACCCAATTCTTTATAGCACAAAAGTCAGCTTTTTATTAAAGAGGGGAAAAAAAGGCAGCTATCTTTTTGGTGTAAATTATGCTTGAAATTTTTTAAAAAGAAAAAAAAAAGAAAAAAGGCTTGGTATTATTTTTAAACTCTAGTTATTTACTCAGGTCACCTTTTAAATCATTGTTTGAAAATTATTTTCATATCACAAAGACTACTTTATCTTTTGTTTCTATTAGAATGAATTACAATAAGGAGGTAGCTCAAAAAAAAAAAAAGTTACAAGAGGATAGCTTGTTTTTTTTTTTTTTTTATTCTTTCAAGATAATGTTTCCCAAACTTCAAATGCCAATCCTTCAAAAAAGGAAAAATGTATAAACAAATACATAAATCATATAAGTTCAAAGGAAAAAAAACATAAATCATCTATTTCAAAAATAAATTGTTTGTGATACCTAATTTGTCCTTTTTTGTATATAAATATATATATATATGATATATTGATCATTATTACACAATTTTTATGAGACTGACCACATTTATACACTGTACATAAATATTGTCAACCTTTTAAAAGTTTTATTTTATTTTGTTAGCATGAATGCAATATTTGTGCTTCGTTGGTTATTATAGATTTTTTTTTTGTTCGATTTCGTAGATTATGATGATAAATATTATTAGAAAGTTGTAAATATTAGGATATTGAAATATGTGAATATTGTATACATGTATTATTGACCCTTTTTATGTTTCTAATATTATCTTATCATCACAAAATTACAATCATTATACTTTCGTCTTTCATTATTAACGATGATGGTGTCATAATACTCGCAATTTTTCAACAATTATAAATTTTAAAATGAACACTAATTTTTAGAAATTACAATCACGGTCGGCGGATTCGAAGTCGGAGCCGTCCCTTTCAACCCCGACGGGTGGGGCCCTCCGGAATCCACAGTCGCCGCCGCCGCCGCCTCCAACCTCCCCCTCAATGTCCCCTTCCGCCCCCTTCTCTCGCTCCGACAAGCTCGGCCGCATCGCCGACTTCACCCGCAACATCAACGACCCGGCCCGCCCCAAGAACCCCTCCGACTCCGTCTTCGACTTCTCCAACGGCGACTCCTTCCCCGCCTCCGGCGAGGACGACTCGTCGTTCCGCCTCGTCGACGGCAAGCCCCCGCCGCGTCCCAATTTTTGCTCGAAGTGGCGGTTCCAGCAGCAGCGCCAGCTCCCCCAGCGCCGCGACGAGGAGGTCGAGGCCCGCAAGCGCGAGGCCGAGAAGGAGCGAGCCCGCCGCGACCGCCTCTACCACCTCAACCGCTCCAACGCCAACGCCCCCCGCCGCGAGGCCGCCGTCTTCAAATCCGCAGTCGATATCCAGCCGGAGGGGAACATGCTCGACCAGATCCCCTTCTCCACCTTCTCCAAGCTCTCCTTCTCCGTCCCCGAGCCCCGAGCCCGAGGACTTCCTCCTCTGCGGCGGCCTCGAGTTCTACGACTGCGCCTTCGACCGCATCACGCCGAAGAACGAGCGCCGCCTCGAGCGCTTCAAGAACCGCAATTTCTTTAAGGTCACCACCACTGATGATCCCGTCATCCGCCGCCTTGCGAATGAGGATAAGGCTACGGTTTTCGCCATCGATACGATCCTCTCCACGCTCATGTGCGCTCCTAGGTCGGTTTACTCTTGGGACATTGTGATCCAGCGCGTCGGGAACAAGCTTTTCTTCGACAAGAGGGATGGTTCGCAGCTCGATTTGCTCTCCGTCCATGAGACCTCTCAGGAGCCTCTGCCGGAGGCCAAGGACGACATCAATTCCGCATATTCGCTCAGCGTTGAGGCCGCTTATATCAACCAGAATTTCTCTCAGCAGGTGCTGATCAGGGACGGGAACAAGGTGACTTTCGATGAGCGGAATCCGTTCGCCAACGAGGGCGAAGAGGTCGCCTCCGTCGCATACCGGTACCGGCGGTGGAAGCTTGACGACGACATGTATCTGGTGGCCCGGTGCGAGGTTCAGAGTGTTGTTGAGGTGAACAAGCAGAGATCTTTCCTGACATTGAACGCTCTGAACGAGTTTGATCCCAAGTATTCGGGTGTCGATTGGAGGCAGAAGCTGGAGACTCAGAGAGGCGCTGTTTTGGCGACGGAGCTCAAGAACAACGCGAACAAATTGGCTAAATGGACTGCCCAGGCGCTTCTTTCGAGCGCAGATTTGATGAAACTTGGATACGTCTCGAGGGTTCATCCCCGGGATCACTTCAACCATGTGATCTTGGCCGTGGTTGCATATAAGCCGAGGGATTTCGCCGCGCAAATTAACCCCAACACCTCGAATATGTGGGGGATTGTGAAGTCCATTGTGGACTTGTGCATGAGATTGAATGAGGGCAAGTATGCTCTTGTGAAGGGTCCGTCCAAGCGCCAAGTTAGGATCTATGAAGTGCCTGCGGATGCGTTTGAGAACGATTACGTCGAAGAGCCGTTGCCGGAGGAGGAGCAAGTGCAGCCGCCGGTGGAGAATGCTGAGGGTGAGGCAAATGCTGCTTCAAACGATGTCGAAGATAAGCAGATTGATGCTGAATCTTAATGGGGTAGTTTCTTTACTTCCAAGTTTTCTGTTGTATGTTTGTGTTTTTACCTTTCATATGCTTTGTTCTTTGAATCATAATGTGACTGATCCCTGAGGTCTTTGAGAAGTTATATGGTGGATTTTTCTTTTTAGGTTGTATGATGAAAAGACATGTGGAAAACTGAACTTAAATACATTCAGATATGTTTGGAGGATTATTTTAAATTAGTTGAAGAATTTTATGCGCTGCTATGGTGAGGATGAAATAAATTTTGAGTTTGTCGACCCCATTTACGTGGACAACACTCTGAAGTTATTATCAGGAATTTGTTATAGTATAGTAAGTGGTCACTCATGTTCTTGTCTTATAAGTTATAATAAAGGAGTGAGATCTTATCAAATATACTTCACGTTTGTATATTTTCCTGTTTTGTATAGAACATTTTGCCTTTCCATCTTAATGTTGATTTGAACCAATGAACCATCCATGGTTTGGCCTCTCTTATGCGGAACTTGTCTTGGTATTTTAACATTGATTGCTCGTTGTCTAATCGAGTTTTATTTTGTCTATTGTTCTGAATTCTTGTCCAGACTTCGGAGAGCGAATACCTATTTATGACTATGACAATTGCAATAATGGAAGAGCAAATCTACAAGGTCAAATCTATTAGGGCAAACTGTTTTGAACTGGAATTGAACGTATATGGTTCTCCATTCTTAAATCTTTTTGATAGGTAGATACATTGAAGCAGACATGCTTTTTTTTTTCCTTCTTTTTTTTTTTTGAGTTTTTCCCCTTTTTGTTCATGAGTTCCGACAACCTAAACTTTATTTCTATTTTTATTACTTGTATGTTCTTTTTTCGAAACTTGATCACTGAGTTTTAGTTTTGGAATGGAAGTCTTTTCATACCTGTTTAACTTATTCTTGTTTGTTTTTTTCCCGTCTATGAGGTTTATGGGTTGTGATTCTTCAACATTTTGGGCCCTTTTTGAGTTGATGCGATGTACTTAACTGACATTTAACATGAGTCTGAGATTATGTCAATATCACAATATGACTTCTAAATACTTATTGGCACTTTTTTGTTCTGTTTCAATATCTGAATAATCCAGCTTGAAAAAATGACTGCCAAAAACTCGACTAAGCTAAAAACCTTGTAGCTAAAAACCTTGTCTACACAAATATGTCATGAAACGAATCTGAACTTGTTCCAATTCTCTCTGTTTTAGGCCGCAAATCACTCTAAAGCCCACTTATAATGTATAGTAATCATGTGTTAATTTTTGTTTTAGTATATGTTCTCTTGTAGTCAAAATAAAAGAAACAAGACGAGGCTTGAAAGTCCTACAATTTTTTTTCTTGGTATGGTGTAGTAATTGTTGACAATTGTATACATCAATCCATTCTCGTTCTTACATAATGTTTATGTGAATTGAGGTATGTTTATTCCGCGGGTTTAAATTAATTTGAAATAGTTTGGATTTGAGTTCAAATCTCAAACTAAATTTGAACATGCACGAAAAGTGAACAATGTGTACCCGGTAACCATGTCAAGTAGTAAATACCTTCATTATACCGCCCATTTGCAAAACAAGTGAGTATCTTCCTTGTATCCTTAACAATCCCCAAACCACTAGAAACTTAAAGATTTTTTGGATCAGATTTACAATTAAAACACAATATTCTTAGTACAAAGGGTCGGTTCAGTGGTAAATCAAATAATTACTTTTACTTTAGGGTTTTGTTATCTAGGAAATGCGATAAAATAAAATAAAAAATTTGTAGAAGATAATGGATAATAAATACCCTTATCGCGTTGACAAAGGTCCCATAACAAATGAGGTTGGATCGATTATTTCATCACAAATGGACCTAGTTTCTCATCTATCCCTTAAGTGACAGCATTAACTAATGACCTCCTTTATATGCCCTTTATATACTAATGAGATATTCTCTTGTGTTCTATTATTTAAGAATATTAGTGTTTCTTACTTATTAATCGTTAAATTTGTATTAAATGAAAATCTGGTTAAAAGTCAAATTAGATTGAAAAAGTAATACAGATTCGACAGCTGATAAGCAGGAAACACCAGTATTCATAAAAAAGATGGAACACTAGAAAAATTCTCATATACTAATACTATTTTTAAACTCTGGACACGATATTAATCTATGTGTAGCGGTTGCAATTTATACGCAAAAAATTTTATATACACTCCAAATTTTTATTAAGGCACTCTTATAATGTATAGTAATCATGTGCTAAATTTTGTTTTAGTATCCCTTCTCTTGTATTCAAAATAAAAGAAACAAGATAGGCTTGAAAGCCTTACAATTTTTTTTCCTTGGTATGGTGTAGTAATTATTGACAATTGTATACATCAATCCATTCTCGTTCTTTTATAATATTTATGTGAATTAAGGGTTTATTTATTCCGCGAGTTTAAATTAAGGAGACGTTTGGTTCATAGATTAAAATCATGAAATTAGAACCATTTTCGATTTACGTGTATTTTTTGTGAGAGAAAACGCTGCAGTGAATCATGAACCATGATTCGAATCGGGATAAGAATCTCCCAACCAAACAACCCCTAAGTGATTTGAGTTAGAGTTGTTTGGTTGGGGGATTCGTATACCGATTCGAATCATGGTTCGTGGTTCACTACAGTATTTTCTCTCACAAAAAATACACGTAAATAAAAAATGGTTCTAATCTCATGATTCTAATCAATGAACCAAACGTTCATGCACGAAAACTGAACAATGTGTACCCAGTAACCATGTTAAGTAGTAAATACCTTCATTATACCGCCCATTTGCAAAACAAGTGTGAGTATCTTCCTCGTAGCCGTAACGATTCCCAAACCACTAGAAGCCTAAAGATTTTTTGGATCAGATTTACAATTAAAACACAATATTCTTAGTACAAAGGGTTGGTTCGGTGGTAAATCAAATAATTACTTTTACTTTAGGGTTTTGTTATCTAGGAAATGCGATAAAATAGAATAAAAAATTTGTAGAAGATAATGGATAATAAATACCCTTATCGCGTTGAGAAAGGTCCTATAACAAATGAGGTTCAATCAATTATTTCATCACAAATGGACCTAGGCCCCGTTCATTTCACCGATTCGAGTTTAGAATTCAAGTTTTGCTATAGTAAAAAGCACTCAAAAATAGTCACATCTAACTTTTTTATTACAGTAAAAAGCTCTCACATAAAGTCATATCTCAACTCAAATTAAAAACTCGAATCAGTGAACTAAACGGACCATAGTTCCTCATCTATCCCTTAAGTGACAACATTAACGAATGACCTCCTTTATATGCCCTTCATATACTAATGAGACTTTCTCTTGTGTTCTATTTTTAAAAAATATCGGTGTTTTTTATTTATTAGTTGTTAAATTTGTATTAAATTTGGTCAAAAGTTAAATTATATTGAAAAAGTAATACATATTCGACGGCTGATAAGCAGGAAATACCAGTGTTCCTAAAAAATAGAGAACACTATAAAAATTTCCATATACTAATACTATCTTTAAACTCTGGACACAGTACTAATCCATGTGTAGCGCTTGTAATTTACACATAAAATTTTATTTGCACCCTAAATTTTTATTAAGGCACCCTAATATATTTAAAAATTAAAATTATTTTCTTTTTTAAAACTAAAATCCTCTATAATTCCACATATACCCTTACATACACCCCATACTTTTCTTTATCTCATTTTAAGATATGAATTCTTAAAAATATTTACTTTCTTATTATTTTTGAGTGAGATTTGATTCTTTCTATTGAAACATTTTATTAACATTTTTTCTTTTTCTTTCTATTTTGTTATTTCTGTTTAAACGACTTCAGAATTCAAAATTATTAAAACTTGATGAAATTTCATATCAAGCTCCAGTACTTGGTGACCAGAAAATTTTATTAGAATAGGGTATAGATGATTTTATGATTTCGTTTAAAAAATGAAAAACTCGCAAACACTTTTTGTTTTTCAAGTTCATACTTTATGTAGAGGAGAAATTGTTCATTAACCATATGGTTCAAGTCATTCAAACCAACAAACTAACGTGTCTGTTTTTTTAATAGTTGAAACGGGAAAGATTTAGCCAAAAAAAAAAAAAGGACAGCAAATCCTTTTAAGAAATCATTTTTTAATTGTGAAAAAAGTTTGGGGTGTATATAAGGGCATTTATGGAATTAGAGAGTATCTTAATTTTAAAAAGAAAATAATTTTTATTTTTAAATATACTGGAGTGCCTTAATACAAATTTGAGGTCTCAGTAAAATTTATTTTTACACGCCGGATATAATAAAGGAATTTTCTAATTTTGCAGGAAGGTCCACTTTAATCGAGATTATGACCTTTTGCCAAAAGCTCAAAGTTGAAGTCAAAACTATGACCCCGTTCATTTCACCAATTCGAGTTTTACTATAGTAAAAAGCTCTCAGAAATAGTCACATCTAACTTTTTTATTATAGTAAAAAATTCTCACATAAAGTCATATCTTAATTCGAATCAACAAACTAAATGTGCCTTATATTTTACATGCTCTATGAGTGAAGCAAATAAGTTTGTCCCAACACAAGAGAACCCTATCATATATGATTCTATTGATTTTGTTATGACCATTAGCAAAAACTTGATGGTACACATGTATGGTTTGGGCAAAAGTGTGGCGTTAAATTTACAGTTGGTAGAGTCGAATGCAATAAGAACTAAAGTTCTAATGTTACGTATTTTCCTCTTCTTCTTCTTAAGAGCTAAGACTTGTCATGTATGTAAAAATGTTAATAAAACAATCCTCCATGGCTTCTTATTCTCTAATAAGATGAAACTTACCAAGTTAAAATTCTCACCTCTACCCATAAACACTATTATTACATGAGACACTTTATTTTAATAATAACAATTTCTAATTTTCAAAAAAAAAAAAGAGAGGTTGATGAGTCATTAGGGGTCATTTGGTTGGAGGGTTTAAGGAGTAAACTCAGGTTCGAGTTTAAATCAGTGTTTATTTTATAAAAATTAAAAAGAGATTTAAACTCTTGTGTGACGTTTAAACCCTTAAAATAAAAGGATTTTTAAACTCAAATCCTCCTTAAATTATAAGGATTTGAACTAAAATTCAGACTCTACAGTTTAAAATCCACGTGGTTCAAACTCATCTTAATTTAAACCTCACCAAACGATAGTTTCAAAAAGGAAAAATTGTCTTCAAATAAAACTAAATTCATATTCATCCAAATTTCCCAAATAAATGGCAAAAAACGGAGGTAAAAAAGAATCGCTTCTTGCTTTAATTCTTATTTTTGAACTCTTTTTGCTATGTATTAACTGATAACACAATTTTTGAAAAATAAGACATGTTGCTTTAGTTTGTTTTTTTTTTTTTTTGAAACAACTATTTTTTTCATTTATCAACTAAATAGAAGTAGTTTAAGCAATAAAACAATTTTTAAAATAATAACAAAACAAAACCCATTAAAAACAATAAACTTAAAAGGAAACCTTATTATCTGCACTTCTAAAATTTTTTAACTGAATTAAAAAAAAAATTGATGATTAGCAAAAAAAAAAAAACAAAAAAAAAAAAAAAATTGATTTCTTTTTTTTTTTTGCTTAAAAATTTTGATTCCTTTTTTTTTTTTCAAGCAAAAACAAATTAAAAAAAAAAAAAAACATCATTTAGGTTTCCAAACAAACCCTGATCTCGTTATTGCACTTCCATCTCCGAATACACAAAAACAAAACCCATTTTTTAACTTTTCTACGCCGCTTTGCTTTCCTTTTATCTTCTTTTTTGCGTTTTGCAGTTTCGACGGCGCTCCCCGTCGTTGTTTTGTCCCGTCTCTCCTCATTCCCAAATTGCTCTTCTTCTCTCGCCTTTTCTTTTTCTCCGAAACTCCCAGAAAAATTCTTTTGAAATTGAATCTCAATAATTTTTATTTATTTATTTAACTTTCGTGGTTTTTATTTGTGTATGTGCTAAACGGTGTCGGTTCCTCTTAAAGAAAGTGGAAAACGCAAACTCGTGGTTTTTTAGTTGTACTTTTGCAACTGCCCAGGAAAACGGCGTCGTTGTCCTTGGAGATATCAAATCGGAAGTTTTCCCTATTCTCGCCGGAGAATTCTGATTTTTCCGGTGAACCAAAACCAATCAGTTCCTCCCAAGGTATTTTTTTTTCATTTTTTTTTTTTAGAATCATTGAAAATAGAGGAAAATTGGGTCTTTAAATACTGGTTCATTTTTTTTTTTTTTGCTTTTTTTATTATGTAAGATTAATGGCGAGTTTAGAGATTTTCTTACTATAAACTTGGTTGTGACAGAAAGAAAGTTGGAGTCTTTTTCCTGTTCTTTTCATTTACTTGTCCTTCAGAACAAAACCGAGACTTGAAGTTTGCTTCTTTTTTTTTTTTTTTTTTTTTTTCCAGTTTTAGTTACTAGTGTTTTGCGTTTGTGTATGAGAATTTCAAAATTTTTTGGTTGAGAGGAAAAAAGAAAAAAAGTCTTGATGGGAATTTTAATTTGTAAAAGAGGGAGTAAATATGGACAATTGTTATGTTTTCTTCAATTTGAGTTTGTTAAGAACTACATTGGAGATTCCATTCTATCGTAATTACTACCTATTTACTGAATTAAGCTATTAATACAAAAGAGAGAGAAGAAGATTTCACCTGTGAAACTAGTTACCTCTTTCAATAGTTTTAATCTTTGGTTGATGTGACTTTAGAGTTTATTTTTCCAACAAACATAAAAAAAAATTTGATTGGATATACAAACAACTTTTTTGATGTTTTGGTATAAGTTATCAAAGTGAAGCTTTATTTAGTTGTTGTTTTGCCATACTTGATAAAGTTATGAGCTGAATGTTGCATTCTTAATTGGTATTCTCATGTCACTAACTTTTCGTCTTTCTTGGTGCGTTTATCAAGTCTGCATTGTATGATTATGAACTTAAATATGCTGCTCTTGCTTTGTGCTTCTATGGTAGATTGATTATTTCCACTGTCACCAATGGACGTAACATTGGTGGACCCTTACGGAACGAACCCTGGACCAATGGATGCTTCAGTACTTTATGATCAAGAGAAACATGTTTCCTCCGCAGTTTGGGATGGGCAGGTGGAGTTTACTTGATGAGCTTTAAGCTTCTCTTTCTCTTTGCATTTTTCTTTTTTTGTTTGTGATGACAATCTTTCTTTAGTGTTTGACTTTACGCTTTTGAATAATTGTTGCAGGAGCGTGGTGCACTTAGATGTCATGAACACACTTCAAAGCTCGACCAGTGGACACTCACTCGAAAACAAGTTGAGTTAGTCGAGAAGGCTGGGTTTGGGTATTTAAGATTGATTCCTGCAATAAGTCTAGACAATCCACTAATTTCTGCGTTAGTTGAGAGGTGGAGGAGGGAAACAAACACTTTCCACTTGAATGTCGGAGAAATGACTGTAACCCTCAAGGATGTTGCATTGTTGCTTGGACTAGCTATTGATGGAGAACCCGTAATCGGTACAACTTACACCACCTGCCACATAGTGTGTGAAAAGTATCTAGGGAAGGCACCAGAATCTGGTTATACTAGTGGTGGGATGGTAAAGCTAAGTTGGTTGAAAGAGTTCTTTTCTTGGTGTCCTGAAGATGCCCCACTTGAGGTTGTCGAGCGTCATACCCGTGCTTACCTCTTGTACCTTGTAGGCAGCACTATTTTTTCTACCACCACGGGGAATAAAGTCCCTGTTATGTACCTTCCATTATTTGAGAATTTTGACCGGTGTGGAAAATATGCCTGGGGAGCTGCAGCATTGGCATTCTTGTATAGGGCCTTAGGCAATGCCTCGCTGAGATCTCAGAGTACAATTAGTGGCTGTTTAACACTGCTACAGGTAATTTTCATGCACGTTTCTTTTTCTATACTTTACCTCTTATTATTTCCTCCATTTTTCATAGTATCTTTTGTTTCTATGGATATTTCTTCTTAAAAATCCTTTCTTTGTTTATCTGATGAGCAGTGTTGGAGTCACTTTCACTTGAACATTGGTCGACCAAAGCTCAATCATGATCTGACACATGAGTGCTTTCCATTTGTGCTTAGATGGAAGGGGAAACAAAGTGGTCCAACAGCGAACCGCGATGTAGTATTTTACCGTAAGGCATTGGATTCTCTGAAACCATGTGATGTAAGTTTCTTTTCTTTTCTTTTGTATCCTGGATAGTGTTCAATTTATACTCTGGTTTTTAATCTGTAAAGTGTAACACAAATAGTATGTTTTTAATATACAGGTAGAGTGGCTTCCTTATAGAAACATGGACAGTACATTAATTCCAGAAGATATTAAGAATAATTTGATCTTAGGGAGGTCAAAAACAATGTTAATTTGTTTTGACAAGGCAGAAAGGCATCTCCCTAACCGTTGCTTAAGGCAATACGGCATGGTTCAGTCAATCCCAGAAGATGTACAACAATGGGAGAGGAAAAGTCGTGGAGTTGATGGTGGGGTTGACTTGTCAATGAAGATGCAATCAGAAGTTGATGAATGGTCTGAGCGTCAATCTCATATCGTGGATGGTGATAATGCTGCAGATGAAAATGAATACATGCAGTGGTACCTGAAAATTACCCGTAAATTTGTAGGGAGGCCTATATCTCTCTCATCAGAGTTTCAGAGAACAGTAAGCCTGAGATAGTGAATTATAGTTAATGAATTTTCCGGAATGTTTCCTGATGTAATTGGAATGCAAATGACATATTAGTCTGATATAGTTTCTTTTATTTTGAATTTTGCAGAATGCTGGTCTGAGGGATATTGCACATATAGTTGACACATTCTCTACAAAGGGGTTGGATCCTCAACAAATTGAGTTGGTTTCTAGGATCAGATATGTCGCGCATGAATGTCTGAGAGACCAAGTTGGAGGCCCAGCCATTGTGACAGCTACCCCACAAGTTGAAGTCGGGAAAAGAGGAAAGGAGAGAGTAAGAAGAAAGAGTACTGGAAAACGTCTAAGAAAGGATGAATCAATGCAATATGGTGCAGCTAGCGAGGATGACCAATCTCATTATGGTGCTACTGATGAGATTGCTCAATTGCAATTGCAGCATGGAGATAGAGAAGAGAACCACCATCAACTATATGCTTTAGATAGCGTGGACAATCCTTTACGAATAATTGCAGATGGTGAGAATGAACCTCTGCATCTGTGCAGTGCAGATATCGAGATTGATCATTCACCGCTAAACAATGCAACTGTTGAGGTAGTTGATGCTGAGATGAGCCATGCATCTATGAAAGCTGAAGGGACCCAGTTTCTTAATGAAACAGAAAAGAACAATGACTTGCAGCCCTCTGCTGCAGTGACTGAGGTTAAGGACTCCCAACTTTCTGATGCAACGCTGGAGGTTTACCTGCAGAATCATGATGCAAATGAGGTTGTCAACCCACAACGTCATGAAATAACTAAGGAGGTCGTTGACTCACAGTTTAATGATACAAATAAGGACGATGTAGATTCACAGCTTAATGATGCAAATAAGCATGCCATTGAATCACAGCTGAGTGATGCAAGTAAAGAGGTTATTGACTCACAGCCGAGTGATGTAACTAAAGAGGTCATCGACTCCCAGCTCAGTGATGCAAAGGAGGTCACTGACTCACAGCTTAGTGACGTGAAGGAGGTCATGGACTCGCAGCTTCCTGATGCAGTCAACAATGTCAATGGATCACAACTTTCTCAGGTTACTAATGAGTGATCAAGAGACAGCTAAAGCAGCAGCATAAGTTCAACAATCATCTGTTGAAACTTCCATAGATGTGGTACAACCGAATGTTGTCGCATTATAGTATAATCTGAAGTCACTATCAGGCAACTTTTTGGACTCATGTAAGATTGATGTGATAATTTCGCGTGTGCATGTGTATACATATTGTCTTACCTGCTTTCTTGATCTGATGAATTTGAAATTCCATTCTGTTATGGCAGGCAGCTGAAGGCTGACTAATATTTCAAATGAGGCTAGACTAAGGAGTACCTGGATTAAAATTTTCTCCTCTTTGCGTCATGCTGTGAATTTTTCTTGGCTGATCTAATTTAGTGTTTATAATTTTCGAGTTATTAATTATATCGTGTAATATCTGAGGTATTTTCAGCTCAAATCTTTTTTTGTCTTGTGTTCTACACAAGTAGCTTATTTTAGGATTACATCTTTTGTTTCCCCCCAAGAATTTTGTTTTTCTCACTCTAGCTGGAAAATTCAATCAAGGAAAGATAGCTAGCAAGAAACGATCTAGCCTCTCATTATAACCGATAGCAAAATTGCGAATTCGACTATTTTTTTTTCCAGAAAAAAATCCATGTCTTATTTCTTTTTCTTGGGGAAAAAGGGTGTATAACCAAGCAAGCAATTAAATTGTGGTAGGTGCATATCTATATAGGAATCAATTGGCAAGAGGAGCTTAGATGGCTCTTTATGGTAGCTTTATGGTGGCAGTCGACGCTCCTTAATGTAGTTTGATACTCATCCATATCCAAGAATCAAGTGATCTAAAATCTTTTGGTTCCTCATGTTGGTTATGACATTAATCGTAGAAAACACTTGACTGGAAAATATTCATAGGCATAATATTTGTGATGTTGGACCAAGATGATTAAGGAAATAGAGAGAAAGAGACTAGGAGCACAAAAGAAGAACAGAGGGAGAAATTTATGTATTCAATTAGTTATCTGGGATTAGACTCTTACGTACTCTTATTGTTAACACATCTGGTGGAGTTGGGGTGACGTGCTCTTCATCTGAGGGATAGGGCCCACCTGTAAAGCTTTTAGTGAACATTCTTATCAACGTAACCCTTTTAGTAACGCTTATGGAGTATGCTAACGCCGGTCGCCTCTTTACTAAACTTTTATCTTTATGAAAAATTAGTCATCAAAGTCTGGATTGAAAAATACAAATATTCTAACTTAACCTAGATGATAAACATGTAATTTTGAACTTTTAATTATTGCTAGTTTGTTCCTCATCAATTTGCTCATACATAATATATTTATTGGCCAGGCAGTTTTGTATTCCTGCAATTAGTTATTTTCTCTGTTCATTATTTTCTTGCTAGTAATACTCTCTGCGACATTTGTGGCATGCATGTGAATAGCAGGCCATGAAGTAAAAGGAAAAAGGTAAAAGTTATGAGTAATTATGAAATTCAGATTTACACTTTTTGTTACATATATTTTGTTGTAAGTTGTCGTTGACCAGTAAGACCTCTTGAACAGTCTATTTTCCTGTTTCAGCAATATTGTTTACTAATCTTCTCGTGCTCAAGTCCCCCAACATGTTGGACACTTGTTCGTCTTTGCTCCTATGGCCAGTCTGCTTTAAACAAACAAATTCAATTCACTGCTCTTTATTCATGTGAGAAACTGTGGCTATAATCTATATGGGCCCGTTTAGTTCGCTAATTTGAGATTTTAATTCGAGTTGAGATGTGACTTTATGTGAGCTTTTTACTGTAGCAAAAAAGTTAGAAATGACTGTTTCTGAGAGCTTTTAAAATTTAAATTCTAAACTCGAATCGGTAAAATGAACGAGATCATATATATGTTTCATCACCCTTCTTGGTAATTAGCTTTTTTGCAGAAGACCTACCAAATTTTCACAAGGTAGACCATCCTTTCTTTTATTGTACCATGCATTCGCACGAGTATTTTATCAAGAATTGGATGATGAACAAATTATTCTGAACCGTTGAAATTTGAATGGTTTTTGTCAGGTGGAATTCAACAATAAAAAGAATAATAATTCTTATCCCTGAAAATTCGTTGCACGGTAGTTTAAGTCCTAGTTCTTACCTTCAATTTTCTTAGGCTTTGTTTGGTATGAGGAATGTTGAGAGGAATGATAGGAAATGTGAAAGGTGGAGAAGATTATGTTAATCATTTATGTTGTTTGGTAAGAAAGAGAAAAAATTAAAATGATAGATGAATGAATATTTGTTTAATTACTATATTGTCTTTTTTATCACTGCATATTAAATTTTTTGAAGGATGAATTAGTCTTTTTCAATCTTTAATTGGTGGATTGCATGACTCTTTCCATGAATCTTTAATACATATTGGCTTTTCAACTAAACAACGTTGTTTCCTAAAAAAAAAAAAAAAAAAAAAAAAAAAAAAAAAACCAATGTTCAGATTTTATTTGGAGATTAATAAAGGTTACTACATGATAAATTTTCTGCAATCAGTAAAGATATTTGAAAATGACTAACATTACGTAACCCACATTTTTTTTCTCTCTCTCTTTAAGTTGGAGTGGTAAAGATAATATATTTTAAAAAAAAATAATGGTAAAGGTTTTTTTTTTTTTTTTTTTGGGTGATAAAAAAAAAATATTTTAAAAAAAAAAAATGGTAAAGGTTTTTTTTTTTTTTTTTTTTTTCTGATGAGGTAAAAGTTAGAACGTCCTGTTTTGTAAATAAAGTAGTAATGCCCGTTTAATTCGTTGATTCGAGTTTTTAATTCGGGTTGAGATGTGACTTCATGTGAGAGCTTTTTACTATAGCAAAAAAGTTAGATGTGACTATTTTTTAGAGCTTTTTACTGTAATAAAACTCGAATTTTAACCTCGAATCGGTGAAATGAACAGTCTCTTCTTTTTTAAATTTAGGGATTTAAGATAAACTTAGGTGTGAAATTATCCGTTTTAAGTTATGTCTTCTATAATTTAGTCTTTTCAATATGAAAACAATTAACTCAACTTGTGTACAAATGATAATTGATAAAACTTTATAGCATTCATTTATCAACGGAAGATGTCCAATAGAAATGAAAAATTCAAGTCTTTGTTTTAGCGTATAATATAATCATTAAGACTATAATCCGTCATGTACATTATAATTTATAAATAATCCATCATTCTTTGCATGCTTGATCACAATTTAATTGCCAGCACCTCTTAACTTTGAGAGATTAACATAAAGGAAAGGATTTTCAATACTAAATAGCATTCTTACGATTTTGATTTAATCTAATAGTTAAAAACTGTATCCTATCAATAACATATTTTTTCCAAGCCTTAAAAAGAATTCTCCAAATTCTCACCTAATATACATAATGATAATAAACCTATCTAAAGAGTAAATAAGATACATGTTAGAAAGATGAAACTTTCTCTCTCTCCCAAAATCCCTCAACAATTAGGAGTGACAATTCATATTGCCGTGTCGTGTTGACCCTTTCAGTTGACACGGTAAGACCTGACACGAACGCGACTTATTTATTATTCGTGTTAAAATACAAAACTCAAACACGATATGTATATTGACATGTTGACACGACACGATTAACCAATTTATTAAACATGTCATAATAGTGTTGTGTCAACTGTTTTTAATAACTCGTTTATAAAATGAGTGATAATAAGGTCGTGCCAACTTATTTCTCAACATGTTTCTCAACATAGATAACAAACGGGTTGTAATTGTATTGTGTATTCGTGTTACTCAAATATAACACGTTTAATAAACAAGTTACGACGAGTCAATTACGAATTGACGAATCAACCTGAAAACGATACGCTATTTAATCGTGTTTTAAGGGGTCAACCTAATTTTAACCCAAAGCTATTTATAATAAACCCAAATCCGTTAATTTCGTACGGATTTCGAGCCATGACGTCATATCATTACCTGAATTGTCAGTCCTACCAACAACTCCTTTTTCCGATTATCCAAAAAAAAAAAATCCTTCCGATTCTCTCTCTACACATATTTGTGACTGTGACAGATGCTATCAAATAAATATCAATATCTTTTGACCCTACCTTGGCTTAAAAAATTACCAAAAACCTCTCTTAGTTGCCATGACAGAATACAGGTTATTAATCTCTAACCCCCCACAATCACTTCAATCACATCCACGAATCTCTCTCTCTCTCTCTCTCTCTCACACACATGCATGCACAAAGAACATACACAGTGATATAGAGAGAGAAGCTCACAAGACAATACATGGATCCAAAAAACACTTGCTACTAAAAATTCACACTGACCAAACGACCACATTCTCCTCCCACACACCTTAACACAAGGACAAACAAAACAAAACACAATGCACTTCTGTTCGTTCTCACTCTTCTTCTTCCTTACTCTTCTTCATCTTCTTCCTTCCTCTTCTTCTTCTCCCTAGCCATGCAAAACTCCACAACTCAAACGACAATGACAACAACATGATGCTCCCGCAGTCCGAGGCAGAAACTCTCTTCACCGTCATGGAAAACCATGTCGTCTGTCTGACTGATAATTACGCAGGCAGGCAAAATAAATCCTCAACTTCCTGGAGCGATAAATTGATTTTCTGACACTAATAAATATAACTTTTCCAGTGTCAGTCTCTGCATTATGAAAGAAAAGAAAGGAAAAACAAGCCCTTGTAAAATCCCTTGAGCTGAACCATATATTGAGGAAAATATGGACATATATGGTACAATTCTTACAAAATTCACTCAGGCCCCAAAATGTCAATAAAAGAATAGGGGATTTAAAACAATTGATTTTCTGACACTAATAAATATAACTTTTCCAGTGTCAGTCTCTGCATTATGAAAGAAAAGAAAGGAAAAACAAGCCCTTGTAAAATCCCTTGAGCTGAACCATATATTGAGGAAAATATGGACATATATGGTACAATTCTTACAAAATTCACTCAGGCCCCAAAATGTCAATAAAAGAATAGGGGATTTAAAACAAAAAAAAAAAAAACAAAATGACAGCAGAAACAAAAAAAAAAAAAAAAAAACTAATCTACATGTGGTTTCCAAACTTTTTGATCTTTGCTACTGCCTTGTATAAAACACCTCAAATTTCTCCAAGTAATTCAGGATATCCCAAAACTCGCATATCCTGAAGCTATTTCTATACCATTCTTTTCATTTTCAGCACCTCCCTAAGACATCCCGTCACCACCTCACTCCCACCAACAGTGGCCAGCCCGTTTTCTCCTTTCATTCAAGAATCCTTAAGCAAGTTCTTCAGAAATTCAATTGAAAAAAGTGCGCAAGATATTAGAAGAAATTAGAAGTTTCACCACTTTACATAGTCGCTATTGCCGTCTGACTGTCAAATGTTGTCTCAAAGCATATTCACATTAGCGGCAGGTAAGCCCCACCATGCCCTTTTCTCAGCACAAGAGGACCAGCATTTTCAGGGACCTTATCCAACACCTTGTTACATGTATTAATCACATCATTAAACCCAGTTGCCAATGTAGCGAGTTGCAGTTGCAACCTCAAATCTCGAGTCCTCCTTAATAAGCATCTAAATGATCTCCCCAAGTATTTAGCCCATTCTGCTGGCAACCCTCCCCCAGTGAGCCAAACTGAAAATTGGGACTGGTCCCCTCTGGCTGCTACCTCAGCTCTATAAAACCTCGCTAGATCAATAAGCATTGAAGACTGGAGCGGTAGCACGGCCACAAATTCAGCCACAAACTCTTCAAGTAGTTCTGGTTTGAGCATCTGATTCCAAAGAACCAAAGCCCACTCGCTTGGCTGGTTAAGACCATAGGCTTCGGCAACTATTAGGGCCTCTTGAAAACGGGACTGCTCAACAAGGGCTCTTCTAGCGTTTGTTTCAGATAGGTACAGCCATTGAATATCAGGCATTCGAATTTGAAGCGAAAGAAGGGAAGCCTGAGCACAAGCTCTACGTGTTTTGTTGCCAGCGTCAATGGAAGAGTGAACTTCGGCAGCTTCAATGAAATATCGCATAGCATCTAATAGATCTTCATTCTGGTCCCTGTCCCTACGACCAAACCACTGCTCAGACGACTGATCTGCTCGAGATTCTAAAAGAGCAGCTGTTTCATGTTTCATGTCAAAATGGTTGTACACCTGAAAAAAGAACAAAAGAAAAAAAAAAACTTGAAACAAGAAAATACATATTTAATAACTGAATTCTTGTGGGAACTTTATGTTACTTAAAGATCTACAGAAGATTCCCAGTTAAAAGAACAAGTGGCAGAAGAGAAACTATTGCAGAGAGCTGACCCATAAAATAAATAAATAAAAGCCACAAGATCTAAAACCAATCAATGTATTTAAAACTTAGTTAAGATGGTTAAAACTGTGAAATGTCTAACATAGCTAATCTGCTCCAAAGTTGCTTGATCCATATAACCCTTATCCAACCATCGTCTATTCACCTGACAAGCTTGTCAAAACAAATTCTTCATCATAACAAAGAAGAAATTAAGAATGAAATACTGACCATTGCAAATGCATCAAGATCATTGGGATTAAAATGCTTCAGCGATGTAAGAACAGCCATCCTAAACCCCCTGACAGCCTCAGCTGTGCCTGTGTTTGTATCTGCAGCAGCTGAATACTTCTGAAGAAGAAGATCCAGTTGGCCATTTTCTATGAGAATGCCAAGAATGAAATTTAGGGCATGGAAGTTTCCCACTCCTGTTATGAGGCGAGCCAAACAAGCGAAATCCCCCTCAGAGACATAAGCATCCACCCTTGTTGCGGCAAGGGCTACAAGAACATCAACTCCATCAAGGCAAGCGGATGATTTGTAGAAATGGTGGGATAGAATAAGAAGCTCGACCTGCAAATAGCATTTTCCCTTAGGAACATTACTATTAGCTCATAAAATATCTCTATTAACCGTTTCTTAGCTTAATATTACTCATTTTCTTCTCTTCCCCTAAAAAATAGTACGCACCCCACCCGCACCCATCCTCCTCCCCCACCCTCTTTCGGTTTTAAGTTAATTTAGGATCCAGTTATTAGACATGCCCTGGAAAATAAGACAAATCGCACGTGTAGGAAGTCACAGATTAAGCCTAGGCCAATATGATCATACAACAACAACAACAACAAGCCTTGATCCCAACTAATTGGGGTCGTAATATGATCATACAAGACATTATTATAATAGCTCAGCCCATCATCAACATTACCATTATTATTGTTATTATTGTTGTTATATTGTCATTATTGTTCTTATTCTTGTTGTTACTGTTGTTACTACTGTTACTACCATCACCATCACCATCAACATCATTGCCATCAGCACCATCACCATCATCATCATCACCATCACCATCATCATTATCATTATTATCAGTAGTAGTAGTTGTTGAAAGAAAGGATTTTGTGAACAAAGGGAGGATCCGTTGTTAGACAATACATTGTAACGATAACAGTGTGCTCAAACGTTCTTTATCATACCAACTTATAAGTGGTGAATATACTCTTAATTTAATTTGCATCATTTTTTATTGATTGTAAATGCATTCTTAAATACTGTAGAACGTATTTCATTTTCTGAGGGAAAAAGGGGTCAACTGTGGAACGTACTTGGTCAACAGGATACTAGTATAGCTTATCACTACAATTATACCTCACAAGCATGCGGTATTTCTTGTCCAGTAATCACCATACGCATCAATGCGTGGCCAATTTCTGGTTCAGATGGACAAAGCTCTGCCCACTTCAAGAAATCTGAAAACCTCCATAACAAGGGAGCAGGTCCTTCCTCCTTTTGAGAATCCATATATCCCCCACGATGCGCAGCCAATAAGCCCTATAAAAACAGAATGAACCAGATCAACAGAACATCATTTCTTCCTTTTTTTTTTCTTTTCAACAAGAAACTATAATCTTTATTTATGATAATAGGATTAAAATATACTAGTAGAAGGGAGAATGAGCTATCCTCCAACACTAAACTATAAAATTAAAAAAAGGCAACCCAGTCCCTAACGAAACCGGAGAAAAACACACTATCAAAATCCTTCTCATCACCAACCCAAAGAGCTGTGCTAAAGTAAGCATATCCCATATCACACTGAAGTCTTCCTTACATTCATCCAAATATTCTATGGTTCCTCTCTAACCAAACTCCTCAAATAACTGCTAAAACAGAAACCTTTCCTGAGGTGTCTCTCTTTTTGCTAGATCTGGACCAGAAAGAAGGCTCGCATAACCCACAACAGCCCAATTCCCTCATTAGCAAACACTGAATATTACAAGTAAATTGCCTCATTCGAAAACAAACCTTCAGAAAGGACTCAGCGAGAATTTGAGCAATATTAGCTGCTGGCATAGAATGAGTTTGCACAAGGAGATTTGCTTCCTCAAATGATTCTTGTGCTTTTAGCGAAAGCAGCTGTAGTAACTCTATTGGTTGCTTGTCAAATGCTTCTGGAAACGAAAGACCCAAGACATTTGCAGCTTTTACAACTGCTATTATTCTCTTACAGAGTCCACGCCCTCTACCTTCAGTGAAAATGGTTGCTAAGCTCTCCAAAACCTATAATTGCAAGAGAAAAAAAAAGGGATTAAACTATAATGGTGATCTCAAGTGCATCCATCAACTGTCAAACAAACATAGAACATAGATAGTGAATTTGATCTCAAGTGCAAATAGTATTAACAATCATTAACAAAAGCAGAACCTAGTATCTACTTCAAACAGATAAGAGAGAGATGGACAATAACCTGCAGCGGTTGAATTTGATACTGGTCAGTCAGTATGTTGTGCGATTGCATAACCGACTGTACTTCCTCATCCAGCATTGATGCATATACTAGCTCATTTGGAGTTGAAAGAGCAGCAAGCTTCAGAGCAGCATCCACGAGTACGAATTCTGAAGGTACTTGTGCTGGAGATAGCTTATACTGGAGTTGCTTGGCAGCTGATATTTGGCTAAATTCCAACAAAGAAAGAACAGCCCTCTCCAATTCTGCAGGTCCAACTCTTTCCTCCCATCTAGAAAAAGACATTCCCGTTCTCACATTCTCATCCTGCACTGACATGTCATTTTTATAGTAAAGAGAACTTGGAACCTCATCAGATTCTACACTTCTGTCTACCGGGTCCAATAGTGTCCGTCTTACTACCCCATAGCCCTTTGCCCTCCGCTTAGTCTTTGTAGGTCCACCTACTATAGTTGAAAAGCTAACATCGGATTGGTTCTTGTAATGCACCTGGTTATTTTCCCTTGCATCCTGCTTCTCAGTATTTCTACTCCGGCTATTTATATGATTGTCCATTTTTGCTATTATACTTGCAGTGTGGTCAATGATACTAGAGCTATTTTTATTTATTGGGTCACGCATGGAACCTATATTGAATTCTCCATCACTCTTCACCTGTGCTTCTGATTCTACTGCCAAGAGCCAAACTCTGGTCTCAATTTCCCGCAGAAGATTCAATGGATAAACTCTGGAAAATGTATCACAGGGGTCAAAAAAGAGTATCTTACTAAAAAAAGTAATCGGAAAGCAGTTATTTAGGGAGTAAATCACTTACGGGTTCATCAGGGTTATCATCCCACTTAACCATTGTAGAGAGAGTAATAACAACTCATGAAGCTCTCTAGCTGGAAGATCTTTTTCTGCAGCTTCTGCATGTTTAAGGAAAAATAACCCTGCCTAGAAATTTCAAGGCAAATTATCTCAGAACGATCACTGTTGGTGACTATATTCTATTGAAAGCTATTGCAAAGTGCCAATACAAAGTGGACATACCTGTAAAGCAGGGAAAGAATATCTGATAAAGAGTGTTTGGCAGTGGCTCCATAGAGCAACTCTCTCTTCTGGAACGTCCCAAAGGAACTCTTTCCATTCTGCTACCATAGATTCGGCCTATAATTGCACAACTGTCAAACCCTTGGTAACATAAAGAAATTAAACAATTTAAATCCCAAAAGGAATTCACTCAGACCTGAGTCTCAGTAACATGATGAAAAGCTGATTTCCAAGGTCCGCCACTGGTCTCCAACTGTTTGGCCCAATTACGTGCTTGCTCCCAATGACCATTCTTTTCCAATGCTTCTAAAAGTGAAGCATCATCTAAAGTCTCATTTCCAAGTTGTAAAAGATCATCTTTGCGTAATGAAGGCTCAGCTAAATTAATTTTCCAAGAAAGACGCCGATAGTCTGTGGCTGTCGATCCTCCATCACCAAAGTCAGTTGCCGCAAGAAGTTGTAGCAAGCATCTTTTTTCATAAGGGGATGGACAAGCTAAAAGTGTAGCATCAGCAGCTTTAACAGCCATAGAGCTTATCCATGATATCCCAATCTGACCTTCCCTTCCTATATTTGCCTGTAACTGTGACGGTTCTTCTTTAATTCGGGCAGAAAAGGAACCCAAATGTGCTGCCGCTTCAGATAGGCGCATTTGTGAGAATGCCTGAGAAGATGATGCAGAATATATTTAGACTTCATCGAGAGTTACAATCCAATTTATTCGCTTCCAAAATGAGAATGCAAAGCCAAGTGAATGATTACAAAACTCAGAACCTACTGAAAATCATAAGAATCTACCAAGGAAAAAAGAAAGGCACGTTAAATGAGGTAGTTAACTTGCATCAACAATGGACAAAATTGAATGTCGTATTTCTTCCTCTTAAAAGCATACTAATAGCCAACTAGCAGAACTCCCTTTCCAGTTTCTAAAACAAAACTCTATTCACACATTCTTAAAAGTGAAACCACCGAAACAGAAAATTTTGAACTTCCAACTTCCTGAAGGTTAATCTTATATTTCAGAATTTCATTCCACTATCAAGAATTTGAAAGAAGAAAAAAAAAAATGCTTACTAACAGAGTGAGCAAAAAAACAAAAAAAAGACGAGGGTTTAGAAAGAATGCATATCCCTGCCTATACTACCCACCCCATTCAACATAGAGATGAATCGTCCATAGAAATTAGCAGCAGTGGAAGTAGACAATGTAGCCTGCATCTAAAGTTAAGAGGATGCATGTTCTCCCAGTTAGACAGAGGTACACGAGGGGTAATAAAAAATACCCACATAGCATGACAATCAAACCAACAACAAAGAGTCGTTACATAGATTCTCTTAATGTGATTGTCAACATTATAGGGTAAAGATATGGCAGAATTGTAAACCACTCACAAACCTGAAGGGCACGTATGAAAGGCAGGAGAGAACATGAAGGAAGGAACATTTCAAATGCCCTTAGTAAAGGCAGGAATAAGTGTTGTTCGCAAAGTACTGCAACCATCTTGGAGAGAGAAACATGCCCTTCATCAGAGTCAGAAAGTTCTATTTTTCTTTCCTCTTCAACCATAAAACCTTGTGCAACAAATACTTTCTCACCCACGGGACTAGTTGAAATGCTGGTAACTTCAACATCTGACAGATCTCCTGGTATGGACTCCAAAATACGTCTACGTTTTGGATTCCGCCGGTTGTAGTGAAATGTAAGGAATCTGCTCCCTGCTGGCAGAGAATTAGTAGCTTCAACTGCTGCTCCAACATTATCTGCAACCTGGGATGCGATATCATTTACCTTAATGGATGATGTCTCCCTGTAAGTAATACAGCTAGAGTAAGAACCATACTCTTTAAGTTTGCAAACCTAATGCTTTTACCAAATGACAGTTTTTCAGGATTAAAGTGCCAAACTACGAGAAGTTCAGGGGCAAAGGTGCAAAACAATTATTGTTATTTGGATAAAAATTTAACTTCTTTTACCCATTGGAGTTAATTGCTACTAGTTTGTTATTTCAAGGACTAAATTGTCAAGCAAAAAAGTTCCAAGGACAAAAGTGCCAAATCACAAGAAGTTTGGCACCATAGGTGCTGGAACCCATGCAAAATTTTAAAGCGAGAAAGCAAAAGATAAATTCACATCACACATTTGCTTCAATGTTATGGAATCACTAATGAAAATCGCTCAAGTAATATCAGATACAAAATGCCATCTAAAGTACAACACAGAAAGCATTATTCATATGTATGGGTATCAGTGGTGACCTTGCTGCAGTAATTTCCAGCCACACTGTCAAGCAAGACAGGGGAGACACATCAGAAAAGCATGATGCAATCATTGCCAAAATTGACCAGGATAAGTCCTTTGCTTTCTTCAAGAGGGCCTCTCCAGGATTTTTTTGCTTCTCACATTCTGCTAAAATTCTAAAGAGTTCAACTGGATAACAAGTTTGTTCATCTGAAAAGGAAATTTCGGTCCTTTTCTCTGAGTTATCTGGATAAGAAGAGGTGCTAGCTTTTTTTCTTGACTGCATGCTCTTCAAAACTGTTAATATATGAGTTTTGAGACGTGGATCACTAAACTCCTTCGATGCCTGAAAAGTAGAACAGTAAGAGGATAAAGGATACAACTTTATCGTATGCTAGATATTTAATTCAGAACAATATAGAATCATGATGGCTTACCACTTGAATTACTGCATCGAAAGAATATCCTCCTAACTGAGCTTCAGACAAGAACCCAACCTGAAAATAAATAAATAAATGCCACGATAAGATTTGAAGATGTTGAATTTCGCAATTATAATCGACTAATGCATGCACCACTACTATGGAGACGTACCCAATCATTGTCTCTTGCTAGTACATCAAGGTATTTTGTGCTCAAGGGAAGATGATGCATCTGACAGAAAACTGTAACTAAATTCCAGTGCTGGCTAGCAGCTTTTTGTTGGGATCTCAAATCAATTCCATCACCATTTCCACTCAAAAGCCAAGATCCACATGTGTTTCCATCCACCGTCAGAGGGAGGCTCGCCTTTTCTAAATGATGTAGGACATGAATGAGGGCTCGTGAAGATTGCTGACCGGTAACTAAACTCGGAGTTTTCTTTTTCTTAGTACTACTTGCACTATCCTGATGCAGATAATGATCTGCTAGTGCTCGAGCAAGAGACTCGACTATATCACGTTCATGGGAAACTGCATGAAATGCAGAGCCCTTGGGTGAAAATTGCCTTTGGTCGTCATTATTTTCAGTGGACTTATAGTATGAAGATATCCGTCTCAAGGCAGCAACATCCACGCGAAGCATGCTGGCAGATAAACCGCAAAGCTCCAGGACAAAAGCACATGAAGCCACCAAGACGGGATCCTCAAAATGCATAATAGCAAGCGGCATAACCTAAAAGTTTCAAGTGTGAAAAGAAATTCTCCAGACAGACTTCATTAACATAAAAAATGAATAAATAACTAAATTATAACATAATTCCCAATGTTATAGAAACAGAAACATAATTTTATTAGGAACAAAAAAAAAAGCGAATAAAAAAAAAGAGAGAGAATATGAGCAGACATCGGGAGAACAGAAAAACAAAAGCTAGTGTCGGAAATATAGGAGTAGATAGGTTTAGTTAGGGTTTATGTGTTATCAAATAAGATTTGAATTCTAGAGTTTAAATTTAGTGTAGGATAAGGGTTGTTGAAGATTGGATTTAGAGTATATCTAGAAGAAGATTAGATTCTCAATCTCTTCTATATATAACTATTGTATTTTTTCCGGTTATGTGATTATTAATAAGAAAAAATATGTTTCCCCCAAAACCTACATGGTATCAGAGCTTAGGCTCTTAACCTAATCTCTCAATCGCAAAAACTGCCATGGCCGGCGCCAACAGAAGTTCCTCTTCCACAAGAGATGACGCAGAGAGTTCGCAAGACAATTTAGCCACAGTCCAAAGCAGTGATGACGGCGTATCCCTCATGAATCACCCATCTAATGCGTTGCAATTGACTGCACACAAATTAAATGGGAAGAATTACTTGTCTTGGGCTCAGTCTGTGAAGCTTGTAATCGATGGAAAAGGGAAATTAGGGTTCCTGACAGGCGAGGCAAAGAAACCAAGGGAGAACGACCCAAAATTGAAGACATAAAGATCCGAAAACTCCATGGTTACCGCATGGCTTATCAATTCCATGGAGTACTCGATTGGAAAGCCATTCTTATTCCTTCCAACCGCCAAAGCAGTTTGGGAAGCCGTACGAGAGACCTATTCCGACTTAGAAAATTCATCTCAAATATTTGAGATAAAATCAAGGCTATGGCAGGCAAGACAAGGGGATAGAGAGGTCACGGTTTATTACAACAAGATGGTGAACCTTTGGTGGGAATTGGACTTATGCTACGAGGAAGAATGGGACTGCACCAATGATAGCGTGCACTATATGAAGAGGGTAGAGAATGACAGAGTGTTTGTTTTTTTGGCCGGACTCAACAAGGAATTAGATGACGTGAGAGGCCAGATTCTAGGAAGGAAACCACTTCCATCCATCCGAGAGGTGTTCTCTGAAGTGAGAAGGGAAGAAAAGCAGAGGAGTGTGATGTTGAAGAAAGAAGAAGCATGAGGAGTAACAGAGGCCGAAACCTCTGCCTTGGTTTCTCAAGGGGCTAACTTGGACGGAGACAGGAGAAACACCAAGAAGAATGATAGACCATGGTGTGATCATTGTAAGAAACCTTGGCATACACGGGAAACATGCTAGAATTACATGGGAAGCCGCTAAATTGGAAGAAGAAGAATGAACGGGGTGGCAGAGCATTCCAAGTTTCAAATGATGACCAAGGGCAGCAAGTCTCAACAGAAAGCTCTCCATTCACTAAGGAACAGATAGACCACTTGTTGAAAATCATCCAATCCTCAAAATTCTCTGTAAATTCCTCAAATCCATCATGTTCTCTAGCCCAGAAAGGTAACTACCTCACTGCCCTTGTTAGTGTCAATTCCGGTATAAATTGCCCGTGGATCATAGATTCCGGTGCAACCGATCACATGATAGGATCATCAAAATTGTTCTCTTCATATAGTCCATGTGCAGGAAATCAGAAAATTAAAATAGCAGATGGATCCCTTTCAGCCATAGCTGGGAAAGGTTCCATTGCTATTGCTCCATTCATTACCCTTCAAAATGTTCTTCATGTTCCAAATTTGTCATGTAATCTCTTGTCTGTCAGTAAACTAACTCGAGATTTAAACTGTCAAATTCACTTTTTCACATCTTCTTGTAAGTTTCAGGATTTGAACTCGGGGAAGACGATTGGCAATGCTAGACAAGTGGAGGGCTCTATTTCTTTGAAGATGGATCAAGCTTGGGAAGACAAGCTCAAAATACTTGTTTTAAGTCTATTTCTGTTTCCAGTGATAAGGAAGTCATGTTATGGCATTTTAGGTTAGGACATCCAAATTTCCAATATCTTAAATATTTGTTTCCTAGATTGTTCATCAATAAAAGTCTATCTTCATTTTAGTGTGAGATTTGTGAATTATCAAAACATCACCGGGCTTCCTTTCCTTCACAACCCTATAAGAGCTCAAAACCATTCACAGTTATCCACAGCGATGTTTGGGGACCTTCTAGGGTTAGCACTTTCTCTCAAAAAAGATGTTTATCACCTTCATAGATGATCACACACGGGTAACTTGGGTGTTTCTTTTAAAGGAAAAGTCTGAATCAAAAGATGTTTTCAAAAACTTCTACAACATGATTCAAACACAATTTCAAACAAAAGTTCAGGTTTTCCTAAGTGATAATGGGAAAGAATATTTTAATAAAATCCTGGGCAATTTTTCTTAAAAAAGGGATTGTACACCAAAGTTCTTGCAATGACACCCCTCAACAAAATGGGGTGGCGGAAAGAAAAAACAAACATCTTCTTGAGGTTGCTAGGTCAATACTTTTTTACAAATAGTGTTCCAAAATACCTGTGAGGTGAAGCAGTCCTTACTGTCGTGTTCCAAATTAATAGAATGCCCACAAGAGTTTTGAAATTTCAAACACCATTGAACTGTTTTAAGCAAAAATTTCCCACATCACGGCTTGTCACTGATATTCCACTTAAGGTATTTGGTTGTGTTGCATTCATTCATGTGCATAATCATAATCGGGGGAAATTGGATCCAAGGGCAAAAAAGTGTGTTTTTATTGGTTACTCACCAACACAAAAAGGTTACAAATGTTTTGACCCAATTTCAAAAAACGTTTTTGTAACTATGGATGTAACATTGTTTGAAACGCATATATATTTTTGTGAGAATCATCTTCAGGGGGAGAGTAATGGCGAAGATGCTAGGTTAGAAACTGAACTTGACCCTGCTGCTGCCGGGACTGGCAGTGACCCTGCTGCTGCCGGGACTGGCAGTGACCCTGCTACTGCCGGGAATGGCAGTGACCCTGATGCTGCCGAGAATGACAGTGACCCTGCTGCTGCCGAGAATAACAGTAACCTTGCTGCTGCCGAGAGTGACCCTGTTGCTGCTTCCTCCTTTGAACCCGTGAGTGACCCCTTTAAACCGGTGAGTAAGGAATTCTCGAATCATCTAAATATGAACCCTATCATGTCTTTACAATCAAGTCCAAATCCACATCTAGAAAATGATATCTTCAAAATTGGAACTGATGGGGGACCTCCTTCAATGCCATTAGATGACCGGTTAGGAACAGAGGTGTGAAAAACCAAGGGAAAAAATTCAAGAGCTCCGTGTCTACTCGAGAAGGAAACTGATTCAAGGAAAGGGAATCCCTACTTTGCAGCATTGCCATGAATCCAACTTGGGAACGGATCAAGAGTCCCCTTCAGGTACATCTATGTCTCAATCTAAATCTTTGGAGTCTAGTGTCCAACCTAAGTCTATTAATAACTTGGATGTCCCTATTGCTCATCGTAAGGGGGTTAGGTCTTGTACACAACACCCTTTGTCCAACTTTGTGTCCTATGAAAGATTATCACCTTCTCTTCGTGCTTTTACCTCACAGTTGTCTAGTGTAGAGATTCCTAAAACAGTACAGGAGGCTCTAAATGTTCTTGAATGGAAGGAGGCTATTCTAGAAGAGATGAGGGCTCTAGAAAAAAATGAAACTTGGGAAGTTGTGAACCTACCGGTGGGAATGGCAACAGTCGGCTGCAAATGGGTCTTTACAGTCAAATACAATGCAAATGGCATACTAGATAGGTATAAGGCTCGGTTGGTAGCTAAGTGCTTCACACAGACATATGGGATAGACTACTCAAAGACATTCGCACCTGTTGCAAAACTTAATACAATTCAAGTGCTTTTGTCTATTTCTGTGAATTTAGACTGGCCACTATAACAACTGGATGTGAAGAATGCATTTCTGAACGGGGATCTGGAAGAAGTTTATATGGACTCTCCTCCCGGTTTTGATAAAAAATTTGGTTCTAGAGTGTGCAGGCTGAAAAAATCATTCTAGGACTCAAAGCAATCACCGAGAGCTTGGTTTGAGAAGTTCACTCAATGTGTGAAAAGGCATGGATACACTCAGGGGCAGACCGATCACACTCTATTTATGAAGTTCTCAACCGATGGGAAAGTTGCAGTTCTGATTGTCTATGTGGATGATATCATCCTCACTGGAGATGACCTGGCAGAGATGGAAAGGTTGAAACAGTGCTTGACTTCTAAGCTTGAGATTAAAGATTTGGGACAATTAAGATACTTCCTTGGTATGGAAATCGCAAGATCCAAGAAAGGCATAGCTGTCTCTCAACGAAAGTATGTCCTTGATCTCCTGAAAGAGACTGGGATGAGTGGTTGTAGACCTGCTGAAACACCAATGGAGCCGAACCTAAAGCGTGGAGAAAGTGAAAAAGGAACGCCGGTGAACACAGTAAGATACCAGAAGCTGGTTGGGAAACTGATATATCTGTCACATACTCGCCTAGACATTGCGTACTCGCCCAGACATTGCGTTTGCTGTCAGCGTCGTGAGTCAATTTATGCACTCTCCATATGAAGAGCGTGTCGAGGCAATTCACCGAATCTTGATATATCTGGAGTACTCCCGAAAAAGGATTGTTCTTCAAGAAAAATGAACAGTGAGGTATTGAAGTCTACACCGATGCTGACTAGGCTGCATCTATAACAGATAGAAGATCTACATCTGGGTACTATACATTTGTCTAGGGTAACTTAGTTACGTGGAGAAGCAAGAAGCAAAGTGTTGTGGCAAGGAGTAGGGCTGAGGCTGAGTTCAGATCAATGGCTCATGGAATATGTGAGATTTTGTGGTTGAAGCGGATTCTTGAAGAATTAAGGAGGTCGATTGAGAGTCCAATGAAGCTTTATTGTGACAACAAAGCTGCCATTAGCGTTGCTCATAACCCCGTACAACATGATCGAACAAAGCACGTTGAGATCGATAGACATTTTATTAAAGAGAAACTTGAAGCGAGAATCATCTGTTTGCCGTTTGTTCCAACTACACAGTAGATAACTGATGTCTTAACTAAGGGGCTTCTACGGTCTCATTTCGAATTTTTGACAAGCAAGTTAGGCATGACAAATATCTATGCTCCAACTTGAGGGGGAGTGTTGGAAATATAGTAGATAGGTTTAGTTAGGGTTTATGTGTTATCAAATAAGATTTGAATTCTAGAGTTTAAATTTTGTAGTGTAGGATAAGGGTTGTTGAAGATAGGATTTAGAGTATATCTAGAAGAAGATTAGATTCTCAATCTCTTCTAAATATAACTATTGTATTTTTTCCGGTTATGTGATTATTAATAAGAAAAAATATTTTTCCCCCAAAACCTACAGCTAGAAATGGCCAAAAGACTAAACAGCAACATAACACGTGAAAACAATCCAGAAATAACAGTACATCTCTCAATCCAGATCTAACAGCATTAAGAGGAGTAGCCTTGAACTCCTTGAAACGTTGTACATTATTTATCATAAATCATAGCCGATATTCACGCATAAAAGTGCTAAAAATAACTCTATTTTCTAGAGTTATCAGGGATTCAAGATAAACAAATAAAGAACACGAAGAAATTCACCAAAGTAGAGAGACATCAATTCTTACAGATGAAAGGAGAGACCCTTCAGTTTCTGTTAGAGGTGCAAGAAGTCTTAGCAAATCTGATTGGATATTTGTTTGTCCGTTTGTCGATTCAACTGATTGTCCTTCTAATTTTAATTTTTGAACTCGAATGCTTAGGAGACGGTTAAAAGCAGACAACGCTCGTCCTCGGTGCAAGTGGTGCTCCAGCCCAAGTCCAGTTTCCTAAGTCAATACAAACTATTAAGATTAAAAGCAACTATATCAAGTCAACAAAAGATTTTTTTTCATAAGACGAAAGAATTTTATTAATGGAAAAGTGGGGACAAGGAATCCACCTAGAAATATATTTTTTTTTGGTTGAATAAAAAGATTTCAGAATCATGTAGGTAGCCTGTAGTTACACGAACATGCCGAAAACATGCGGCCCAAAGAAATAATAACAGAGGTATTCTGAGAGAATAAATGCCATCATGTAACTCTACCCAAACCAGATTCTCTGAGCAAACACAAGATTACTTGAGCTGCACTATTCTTTTTTTTTTTCTTTTCCTTTCTTCATTTTGGGTAAATTGCAAATAGGAAACTAGAAAGCACTATCTATGTCCTAAATGGCAAGTGAAGCATACTTTTTTTTTTAACCATTAACGATATATTTAGATTATTAAGAAGCAAGTTGAGTTAAAAAAATAAATAAATAAAATAAAATAAAATCCCATACCTCAAGTGTAGGATCATAGAGTTCCTCTTCAATGTGCTTTTGGATGGTTGCTTCCCATGAGATTGCATTAATCTCAGCATGCTCGTCAACATTTATGAAAAAGTCAATCTCCCTATGCCGCAAAGTTTCTCCAGGTGGCATACCTGATATTGATTGCCATCCAAGAGGACCCTACATCATGCAAACAAGGTTAATCCACTAATCAACATAAATAGAACATATGAAAATGCTATATAGAGTGAAGAGGAAGGGACAACTGGTTAAAGTGTTAATTTACCAATTTTGCCAATAGCTCAAACTATTAAGAGGTGGACCAACAATAGTTTTATATTCTCACACTCCCCCTCATGTGTGGACTTGGATAATAGGCAATCGTATCAAGTAAAATTACAGGATGCGATGTTTATAAGAGTGGAACTGAAATTTGCAATATTTTAGGAATAGAAAAATTTTACATAGTAATTATTAAGATGATCTCCACATTTTATGCTACAGAATTAAGTAGTAATAATTAAAATGGTTTTAATTTTTACTATTTGTTAAATACTCTAATGTTCGTGCTACATTTCCAAATTACTGGTAAGATTGTATTATATGTCTAACTCACCCAAATATTAATTGAAAGGCCCAACATGTGAATAGTTAATTATAAGCTCAAAACCCGGCACGTGATGATAATTTTAGAGTGCAACAACAAGAGTTTGAGCTTAAAACCTCATGCAATTACCATGTTAACTTACCAATTTTCCCAAAGGTTTAAGCTATTTGGAGGTGAGCGAACAATAGTTTTATATTCTACGAAGCAGCAAAAAAATAATTGATTTATCCCTCAAAAAAATAAACAACTGATTTAGCCTATTCACATATGACAAAACACGAACTATGTAAAGAATGATATATATATATATATATATCAAAACCCGGTCCATTAAGAAAAACAATAGAAAACCTGGACATAAAGCTGAACCAATCTTCGCAAAGCCTTGGGAAACCAGCAAGGGAGCATTTGAAGAAGTGAAGTATCGTGTCCAGAAGAGAAGAATATGTTGTCACGCCAATTTAAATAGTCTGATAAAACTGTAGCACCATGTTGTTGTAAGCAACAGTTAAAGGAGCCGTGATAAAACAAATTATAGAAGTAAAAGAGCTAATATAACACATTCACGTAACAGGTTAAGGCTAAAAGCTAACCGTTCTTTGCTCTATGATCCAAGAAACTAAAAGTTGTATCTTGTCCAAAACATGCAGACACAAATGTGCGCCACAACGTAGGAAAGCTTTGTAATGTGGGCTTGAGGTTCTCCAGTGTGCACTGCGCTGAGGAATTAATGTGCCTCTTTACCCCACCACTACTCAAGCAATTTTGAATAGGGGCAGGGGCATACATTAGCGTTGCCAAAGCAGCCAATTCTCCCCCTCCTTCTGCAATGTCATCTACAGTACGAATTATTTCATCCATCACAAGAACACCAAGATTGGTAGCAGGAACTAAACCACGAGATGTTGCTGAACGAGCATTAGAAAATGACGCGTCATACTCACGCCCCTTAACCCGAGATAAGAGCAACCATTTTGCCCATTCACAATCTCCCTGTGAAAAGACATTCAACAAAACAAAAATCCACGTAATTACACACACAGATTATATATAGAAACTGATGAACAACACAAATCAAGACAAAATAACACTATCAGAGAGCTTTCATCCTAATATTCCAGGCATATTATGTAAAGGGAAAAAGAACTAATACCGGTAGTTGTAAACATCCAAAATGCTTTTATTTAATAAAGTAGAAATAGCTAAAACGATGGAAGTATATTTAGCCATGGCAACGGCCGTCAAATTATAACACTAAAATACTTGGAAGCCAAAAATATAAACAAGTTTGCACATTAAAAAAAAAAAAGAAACACATCCCCGTATTTTCCAGATTGGCAATTATCTATGCAAAGGTGCTTTCTGATGTAGTTTTTTCTTTTTTTTTTTTTTTGAAACAATGATATAAAATAAAATTGTTCGTTTTGTTGGACTCCCCATCCTCCTGTTTGGTGTCCTTTGTAGTTTGTACTTCGTGGTTTTTTTAATACAAGTTTTGTTTTTTTCAAAAAAAAAAAAAAAAAAAAATCTATACACAAGTTCATTCGATTCACATATCAATGCAAAGGTAAAAGTAAACATGACAAACTCCAGAGAAAATCCAACGGCAGTTGAAGAGAAAAATTGCATCTCCCAAAATTGTAGCTAAAGAATATAATACTTAGTAGCTTTAAAACTTGGATTTTATAGTTGCAGATAAAAGCAGAAATATGATATCCATGGGTATACATGATAAGGTACGTTTTCAGTTTTGTCTACAAAGTAATTGACCTAGAAGTTCTGAGTGAAATTTTTGGAAAGATGGAATTCAAGAAGTTTTGACAGAATCTGTCAGACAGATAGCATTTATCATATATCACTCGGTTTGAGTTGCAAAGGAAGCATATTCAGAAGAATACTGCATCGCAAAAACCAAAAAGTACAAGCATGAAGAAAATAAAACAAAAAAAATACAATAGACGATATGGATAAAACCTTAAAATTGCATATAAACAATTAGACCAAACATGTAGACTCGGTTGCTAGAATTTTAAGAACTTGGGAACTTACTGCAGCATCCTGTAGTGAAGAAAGTGAACCATTATCTAAAACCAATTTGTGTTGGTCAAGATAAAGGTCCAAAAGGTATGGCAAGTTGCACTCCACACAGTGATGTACAAGTACTCTATGAAGAGCTTGCACCGTGTCAATACCAAATGCTCCACCATCTGAGAACTTTAGATCTGGCAAACTCCCAACAAACTCATCGTCTATAAGAATTTTATACCTGCTTATAATAAACCCTGAACGAGCAAGAAGGGGTACAATCTCTTCTGTGCCTTCCCAATATTCCTTTAAAAAAATAAGTTTCCTCCCAAGCTTCTCCTCCATGTGCATCTTTAACCAAGTAGAGCTCAGAGTATTAGGTGGCAACCTTAAAATTTTTATATTTGGAACATCCATGCATACAGCATCCAATTCTTCAAGAGAGCATATATAATTGCCACACCTAGAAGATTCCAGACACCCTACAGTTGAAGCAGGCTGCAGACTGTCCAAGCTGATTTGGAGGCTTCGATCTACTACGCTACTTTCAGGAATTAGGTCCAACAGTTTAGATACCTCTTCCCAGTCACCATGGCCCATGTAGTAATCAAGTTTTGATTCCCATAGTACGTTGACATCCATGACTGAAGACTGCTCCAAAACTATCTGTACAAGATGCACATACATCTAAATCAGCGTGTTTGGAGTTTGAACAACAAAAATTAAAACACTATTGTAACATAGACAAAAGTCTTAAAATGCAACACATGCAGTAGATTAATTTAAACAGAGTTAAATAACTGGGAAATGATACCCACACGTACATTATTAGGTTGTAGTAGTTAGTACCGCTACTGTACAAAACTATCAACTCAAACATAAGTCAAAATATGCTCTAAAAACTATCAACTCTTAACTCAAATATAAGTCAAAATATGAGACGAGTTCTCTTGTTCAGGTAATTGACTCGGAAAAAAGCTCAAGTCACGTGAAGTCATTTCAAGCACACTGATCAGGGTAAGCAAAAGAGTTATACAAGTTCCTGACTCCAGATCATCATCAAGCTTTCGAAATAGTAAAGGAAAATGATTGAATATACAGAAATTTCTCCAAGCAAGCCTCTAAAAGTTTGGAGGGCTCTTTTTTCTTTTTTTTTTTTTTTTATTAGAAACGATAGCTCATATTAATTAGCAAAGTGTACAAAATGGGACAAGGAGTCCGCCAAAATAAAACATAAAACAGGGTCTACTTGGCACGCCATAGTGGGATTATTTTTCTAAAATCTATGAATGCATAAAAAACAAAATTTGAACTTATCAAAAAGTAGAGTATAACAGATTGAAAATACAAGTGAAAGAATTACAAAAAAGATGGCTTACACGATCAATGGTTCTTTGGTCCCAGACATTACACCAGACAGCAGCTGCAGCCCAGTATCCAGCAAGAACATTATCGTCATCAACAACGGGAACAGGTGGGTTTTCATTGATATTAGTCCACGAACCTAAAACAACTCCATCAATTTCACCACACTCAATGATAAAATTGTTGAACACATTTGAAAGCAACAGGCACAAATAATTTCTCCTTGCTGATTGTGAACTTGCTGGAACCCTTGCGTATTCTTTCTGCCGTCCAATAAATGTTCTCCAGAAACTGCTGCTAGTGTAGAGGCTCTTTTGAAGGACAAAGGGAAAATTTTGATTAAAAAAAAAAAAGAATAGTCAATTTGAAGCTCCTAAATATCATATATGCTTCAACTGAAATCACAGTGCATGGAATTGCAAGATACGTAACCCATAAAGTTCATCTACCTCAATAAGTGACATTTTATCCATTATCTTCCACTCATGTGGGCCCAGGTAACCATATCTTTTCATCTCCTCAAAGATTTGTGCACGAAGAGATCTCCTTACTGTTCCAAACAGTAACTGCTTGAGGCTGGTTTCAACATCTTCTCCAAGCCTTTGCAATGTTGCGACAGCAAGTCCAGTTTCGCCCTGTAGTTTTATGTAAAGAAAAATGATTAAAGATGAACAATTTTGTATGTAGCAACCATTGACAAGTTACCTTCAAAAACAGGTCATATGCAATAGCTCTTCCAATGTCACGGACTTCATTAAAAATATCATGAGGTTCTCCTTCAGCAATCAAATCTCTTGAATGATGAAGATGAAGCTGAAGAACTGCTAAGGGGAGACGACCAGAGAGTAAAGCATCATTGACCACAGTTTTGAGGTCCAAATTATCTATCTTCCAACGCGCAATCATCTCCTTGGGATTTTCCAAAGAAAGAATTTTCTTTTCTAAGAGTCCTTCTCCAGGCTCAAGAGACACTTCATGTAAATTCTCTGCCTCAAATTGGGCTTTGGGATCTATAGGTGTCAAAGCAACATTTTCAGCATAGTTGGAGCCCTCAGCAGATACAGGAAGAGAACTATCATTTTGGTTTATCATCTCCAAAGATAGGGGGTCAATTGAAAGTTTGGACTCATCCTGTGAAAAATCTGAAGCCACAAGTCTTGATTCGTCCCCTTCATCAACCTATAATAAAGCAAGGAGAGTGACTTACATTCTTTTGATAAGATGCACGGTAAAACTAAATGCAACTGGACTAGAAGAATAACACACATACCAGTCCTTGGGCTGGTCTCTTAGATTTCATACTAAGACGAGATTGCAGATTTCGAATTATTTCCAAAAAATGAGCCATCTCACTAAGCCTTCTGGAAACTCCCACTTCCTTTGGTAACTTATCAGGCAAGACTGGTGGAAAAGGATGTACTTCTGTACCCCCAAAACTCGGTGATACATAAACATCGTTGTCATGCTGTAGCAATCCATACTTACGGATCATTTTGGTCGCAAAGCAAGTAGCCAAGGCAAGAAGCCTAAAACACAAAAAAATGTAAAGTGAGTCCCAAACAAGAAGTTATAACGTGGCCCACCTACAGGAATAAATATAAAATTGGTAAGAGGAGATTCACCGTGATGCAGCAGAAACATCATTATCATTGCCAACATTAAGCATCAGATAAACTGCAGCAAAAAGCAGTCTCAAGATACCTTCTTCTGCCAAATTGACACCAACAAGCATTTCTAAACATCTGGTCAATTACCAAAAGAACACTGAACATTATTAGTGGTACTTCATGTCGAAACACATATTGCACAACAATCAAACCGAGTTTACATTTTAACATATATACACTGTTCAGGCTATGGATGATGTAGTTGGTAGGCAGCAAAAAGGTGTCCATAAATTGTAATGAAATTATTTTAGAACTGAGTATCATAAAGGTTAATCCAATTGACTTGGTTCCAGCTCTCCGAATTTATTGAGAATCACTGAGACAAGTAGATAAATATCATTTCTGGTAGCACTTGCCTGCTCTCCAGTATTCATGCTACCATGGCCCCATGCCACAATAAAAAGAGTGCAATATATTACGAGTCTCAGCATGCCCAACAAGTTCTTGTTTGGATTTAGTGATTTATACTACGATGACTTCTTCTAATACCACATATCCTAAAAGTTTAAGCTATTAATAAGACAGTTGGTATTAACTTTTAATGTTCTAACAATCTGTGGTGTCTCTTGGTCTCTTTCCTCGGAGGACTTGTATTAACCAAACTGTCTCTACGTATAAGACAATTATCCATTTTAAGAGTATAATTTTTGAAAATACGCATACACCAAAGCCATTAATCTTTCTTTTTGTTGGAAATACACGTACTATAATATGAAAGCAAGAAAGAACGTGCATTTAGACCTAGAAGGCAATAATAATGTTGTAGCAAAAAGGTACTTACTGCTCTATATCATCATATTTCAAGTAGTCCAATGCTAGTTGCAATCGACGCATCCGACATATTTTCAGATCCCACCCTGTAAGACAGTTATTGACATGTCAAGAATGAAGTGAACCTATCTAGACATTCTTTAATGTGCAGCAGTTCCACGAAATTCCACGTGCAAAACGTGAACCAGTAGCAACAGCAGTTTAGAAATTTTGAATGAGGGTTTGCAGCAAATATAGCTCTATAGCAGCTTATACTGGAAGAGTTCTTTTTTTTTTATGGGGTATGTTTCTGCTTGATTAATCTCAAGCTTACCACTAAAATACTAACGTCCAAGAACTGGTGGTAATGCCAAAGTCAACTCTATCACTAAAGGGAAGACCCAAGTGTTCAAAAAGTTATACTTGTAGATAAGTACTGATCCTTTTTATAGTAACATACCAATTAGCTTTGTTGCAAACAACATGCATAAAAAATAGCTAAGTAGTTGGACCACTCCTCAAAATTGCAAAACATGTTATAAGTTTAAATATACAGACAAACAATACAAGGTCAAATTTTGTTCAGTCATTCAAAAAACTGATACTAGCTAATCTTAAAAGGTAGTTATGAGCATGTATAAATGGATTAAATTTACATAATAAAAAGAATCTTAGTAAGAAAAAAAAATACTAATGACGAGAAAACAATTTATCTATAACACACTCCTCCAATGTCATCAAGAAAATAAAAGACCAATATGTGCAGTAACTTGGGGCTCAGAACCTTATTGAATTATATATTAAACAGAGGCTGACGTTCTATGCCAGACCATAAGTTGTAAACCATATCATTTTATGTAGCATTTTCTCAATTGCCTCGATTTTGGTCATTCTGAGCTGATTATTAGAACGTCACTACAGGCTGACATCCTTGCAAAAGAAAACTCAGCCATAATGAAATTTGAAATACCATCATCTATGAAAATGTCATGGAAAGAGTTTATTTCTATATTATGGCTTGCTTCCAGAAGAGGCAGGAATTTGGTTATTGTCGTAGCTAAAACCCTAAAAGTAGCACTCATAACTTAATACAAGAGAAAATTCCTTAAGAGAAGCTTTTTCAGTGAAAAATGACACTTGGGTCCATCATACATGGTATTTATTGTTTTTCAAACTTTGTGATCAAAGAGATGGATAATAATTTTACTACTAAAGATTCCCTAACTTAATCCTACAACTAAAATCCTTTAGACATAAGAAACATTCAATGCAGCCAAGAAACACATCATAAAATTTCAATACACAATGCATTCAGGCAACCAATTGATCATTATCAACCCATTTCAATCAACAAGCATTAAACTAGAAAGCAGACATTAATCAATAAAAACATTAATCTATAAAAGATTTTCAGTATGAACAAATCTAGCTGCTAGGGTAACGATTAAGTAATAACAAGCCAGAAATCGTGGACCACCAGTTATTCTCACCATTTTCAAAACATAAGCGTTCTGCCTCTTCAACTCCTTCATACAAAAGAACCCTGTCCAGTACTTCAAGAATCCAGGGTGAGCAAGGCCGTTTGGATTCTCTCATTTCCAAATTGTCTTTTACTTGATATCCAATGCCTGAATTGATACCCCACTGCCTATACCCTATGGATTCAATAGGTAGGAAACTTGATGAAACTGAAACAGAAGGAAGAACCAGTGAAAGCCCACTGTCTGTCACCAAGTAAAAACAACCCTGGAAAGTGCAACCCACTGCATCTCCAACAAAAGCTTCATTTCTTCCCTCAAGAAGAAACATTTCACACTCGGTAGATAGACAGCTCTCATCGCGAATTGCTGACTCCGCATGAAGATTGAAATGACCAATTTGAGTACCCTTCTGATCCTTCGTATTGTGCTTCCTAATGAGCCGAGTTATTCCAAAAGGAGAAAAACAAATAGAATCATCCGCATTAACTCTGTAATTAGGAAGAAAGATTCTTCGCATAAGGTGTGACTTCAGCTCACACTCATGACATGTTTGATTGGTTATCTCTGAAGCAGCAGAGAAACCACTTAACCAAGGTGCGTTTTGCCTCCCTTTTCCTTGAAGGTTCCAGTCTTGGATTTTTTGCAGTGCATTATTTCCATCATCATCCAAGAAGGAAAGATATCCTTGCCTCATGAACGAAAACATATAGTTTTGACTACCAGAAAACTTACAATAGACCCTTTGGCAACCTATATCAGAACCACCAACCACCCAACCAGCCAGCATACCAAGTCCTAGATCCTGAAAATCAGGAAGCAATTTCTCATATTTATGCCCTTCGTTCACAAGACAGTGACCAGCGGATATTACATAAACTACACCACATTCATCAACTGCAGCTAACAGGGAGGTATGTGAAGCAACAATCAACCTGTTAAATACTCTACTACCGAAGGATTTATCATATTGATATTCTGACCCACCAAGAAACTTTTGAACTTTTGTCCTTTCATCCTTGTCTTGCTTCCACAAATTCAACTGAGGTTTAAGACCACAATTCTGTAAAATATCTAGATGTGCAACATAATCACCTGACATTGCAGAGTGAAAAACAATAAAGCCAGAAGAATTGAGAGAAACAAGAAGATCACCACAAAAATGAAAATCGGCCCACTCAACCAGTGGGCCTATATTTTGATTTTCCCCAAGTTTAACCAAGGAAACCCAGTGGATCCCCACACTGTCTAACCTAGAAATGAGAACTACATTTTTGCACACGCTTCTTTCTTCATCACTCTTATGGACAAATAAAGGATCCTTTAGTGTCAAAGCAAATCCAACACAGTTATGTGAATTGCTGGAGAACACTCTGGAGCATTTGTACAAACTGTTCATCCCAACACCAAAACTAGTAGACAAAATATCTAACTCAAAATTTGGACCAGGTAAAGTTAAATTTGCACATGTATCACCCTCTGAGTCATGAACCATTTTCTTCAAACACTCCTTATTTACGAAAGAGTTGCTTTCAGGTAGGAAATCCATAAAAGGCAAATTATTATGCAAAATTGGAAATGAAACAACCTTCGCTGAGCAAGGAAATGATGACTTCTCAGGGAATATGGTCCATCTTTTACCATCAGATTCAATTTCTTCAACCTTAGTGAAGAAAGACTGGAACCATACCTTAGAATCAATACCTCTTGACAACTCATGATTCCGCATTTCACTATTTCCATGGGCCACGTTTACGTCCTCCACATTCCTATTGGTTTCATGGCGTGAGCTAGAAGGTTCCTCATCCTCCTTATTTTTAATTAATGTCACAGAAGGACCCCATTGCACCCACCCACCTTGCTCAAACTCACTCTCTAATGCACTTCCTGATATTGCAGCATTTCTATTGGGTTTACAAAAAGCATGAACTGTCACACCATGGTTGCCAGATACAAATAAAAACTCTCTAAACAAAGAATTCTTATGATGATTATAAGTATCCCCACAAACACCCCAGGCAACAGAATTTACATCACCTACAAAGGGGTACCTTTTAGACCTTGTTTCATTTTCAAAAGAGAAATCATTATCGATATATAATTCTGATCCAGAAGTGCATGGCATATCATCCTGTCTTGAATCCGAAGCTGAATATGGATGATGAACACTTCCAGTGGAACAATTCTCCACTTCAGGAGTTCCTGTACAATCTTCTGCACACACAAGTACGTAGGTATTCAAATTAATAGGATAGTTGAGAATATGATCAAAAGAAGCACCTAGCAAAGCTAGAAAATTGAACGGCAAAATATGTAATCCATATATGAAAAAAATAGGTGGCAGAAAAACGTCAAAGACAGTTGCAGGAAAGGAAATAAGGTAATCATATCTCACCTGTAAGCAGAGGAAGCAACAAAGCTTCATATTGACATGAGAGCAACAATAACAGCTGTCTTGTAGGAGAAATAAAAGCTTCACGAAACTCTGACAGGTTGAGTTTCGGATGGGAAGGACCCCATTTCTGCAACTGCAATATAGCCAGTCCCTCCCCATCCAAAGGCAGATCCATTGTAGTCCTTTAAGTGACAAAGAAGGCAGGATGAAAAAGGGGAACGGTAACCTAACTTTGTCACCATAAGCTTAGCTGCATCCAAGAAGGGCAAGACGAATTTAATAAAACAGGCAAACCAAAATTTAGAAGGAAAAAAAAACACACAAAAGAACAAATAAAAAGGTAGATAAAGAGGCAGAGAGCTGTTTCCTCAAATATATTATGCAACGAGAACAAAAATATAATTACAAAATAAAGGTGACAAATCTTCAACGCTTACAGAATAAGGATTGTGTATGTCCAAGAATCCAACTAAAGAAAAAAGATAACTTTCCAAGTGTGAAAGATCATGCATAAAAAGGCTCTTTCATTGTACTTTTTTTCTTTTTTTTGTCAGGGTGTGTGGGTGCAAAAGATGTCCATCCCATGGCTTAGCAACGTTTGGCTTGCATAAAAAAGTTAAATCAACTTATAAATATAGTACCTACAAGATCTCATTTCTTTCATCATTGCTAATAATTGTTGCAGGTGCCCTAATCAGTCGTGTCAAAATCAAATCTATTTTAGAACTATGACTCCATTACTAAAAAGTAAAAAACCATCAATTAAGTGTTTACAACTGCCTAACATAGTCATACTGATTGCAGTTTCACCCTCTATGCAAAGTACTTTGCTCATACTCAAGTTACTTTCTCAACAATATTATAGTCCAAAATAAGTCATAAAATGACTGGACAAAAATTTGAAGATGAAAATTACAGTCGATGCTGTGACCATATTGCTCACAATTGTCATATATAAAAAAATAAAAATAAAAAAATAAAAAATAAAAAATCTTAAAAGTCAAACATTTTACAACAACAAAATCATACCAATTTCCCACAAATAACAAACTAATTTCACAAATCTCAAAAGAAATCTCAGAAAAATGAATTTCTAACAATATTAACTAATAACGCAATACAATTTACAACAATATAAAACAAATCTTTTTTTTTTTTTTTTTTGAAAAGAAACGGAGAATTTTATTAAATGAAAAAGGAACAAGGCAAGCAGGGCAAGAGCTTTCCTCTAACAGACCAAGTCCAAAATAACAAATATCAGAGTCAAAACTGAACAAAAAGGAAAGAGACTAAAAAAAAGGAACCCAATTCCTAACAAAATCTGAAAATATCAGCTGGCCAAACTCTTTATCCCTATATACCCACAACGAAACCCAATATTTAATTTTATCCCAAAGGACAGAAACATCTTCCTTATCCTCAAAAACTCTGCTATCTCTCTCTAACCAGATGCCCCAACAAATAGCTAATGTTGCAACCCTCCAAAAACTTATATACCCCCACCCCCCACATGACTTGGAACCAATGAGGGAGAAATTTCAAAGAAGCTCGGCACAACTCCTGGGCAACACCCATAAAAAAAGGCAACTCTTTCAGAAGATATGACCATATCTGATAAGAAAAAGGGCAATGTAGGAATAAATGGTCAGCTGACTCTCCATTGTTCCTACATAACGTGCACCAGCCCAGAGAGATTGTGAGGAAAGGACTTCTATGTTGCAGCAAGTCATGAGTGTTTAGCTTGTTAAAAGCAAGGAGCCAACAAAAAACTTTAACCTTAGTGGGAACATGAGTTTTCCAAATGCAGCTATAAAAAGCAACACGTGGGGCTGAATCATCAGATATCATAAAAGAATAAAAAGATTTTACTGTGAACAAAGCAATGGATTCCAACAACCAATCCCTTCTATCTTGAACCACGCCATTAAGCCTAACCCTCTCCACAACCGCAATAAGCTCATAAACCTCCCTCAATTCCTTGTCTGTCAAATTCCGAGAAATTTGGAAATCCCATGAAACAGAACCACTACATTGATGATTAAAATCCAATATAAAACCTGCAATTGGCTGGCCGTGGAGGGATGAACCCATGTATTAGGCAGGAAATTGAGCACAAAGAACTGTCTTCACACTAAAAATCCTCCCAAAATCTGACTCTATCCCCAGATCCTACCTTCCATCTGACTTTCCTGAAAAAACCACCTACAACCGACTGAACTGATTTCCAAGGACATTGAAAAGTAACTCCCGTAGCAGCCCCTGAGTCCCAATTATTCTGAGCCAACCCATATTTCCCTACTACTCCTCTATGCCAAAGAGAATCTGGTTCCAGTGGGAATCTCCGTAACCACTTGGCCAACAAAGCTTCATTTCTTTTCTAAATATTGCCAATGCCAAAACCCCCAAGTTCCTTTAGCCTGCACACCTGTTCCCAAACCACTAAATGTGAAGCCCTTTCCTTGGAGTACCCCTTCCAAAAAAAAAATCTCGCATGTACTTCTCAATTCCCCCCGCGACTCCAACTGGAGTTCTAAAGACCGACAAATAATAGATTGGCAAAGATGCTAGAACTGACTGAAGAAGACTTAGTCGACCACCTCTCAATAAAAAGCTTTTTTCCACCAGTCCAATCTCTTTGCCACCCTAGCCAACAACAGTTCCCAAAAAGCTGTCCGCAGAGGGATTCCACCAAGAGGAAGGCCCAAATATTTGAGTGGCCAAGAGCCTATAGAACACCCGACGACCCTAACCAAGCTGGATAGCCTGACTACCTCCAGATTTATTCCCAAAATAGTACTTTTATCCAAGTTAACTTTCAGTCCTGATATTAGACCCAAAAAAAATGTCCAAAATGGTTGATAAATTTGATAAACTTTCCTCCTCCAGTGAGCTGAAAAACAAAGTGTCATCGGCGAACTTTAGTTGGCTGATTTTGACATTTGATCTCCCCACAATTAGTGGTCTGAATAGAGAAACTTCAACAGCCCTATCGACTAATCTGCTTAAAGTATCCACTGCGATTGTGAACAAAATGAGGATAAAGGATTTCCCTGCCTAAGCCCTCTGGAAGCTCCAAACTTACCCCTAAGCCGGCCATTTATCAGCACTCAATATGACACCGAACTAAGACAACCCGAAACTAATATCAATCTTCCAAAAATAGTAAAATAATCAACAAAAAAATCACAAATAGCTAAACAGACAAACTATCACGATAGCAACTTTCACCGATAGCAACTTTCACCGGTATCAACCAAAAATCAACAATCGAACAAATTCTGAAAACATCAATCAATTGTCAACAAATTCCACAATAAAACGAATTCCATAAACTAATTTATATATCATAAATCAGACTGCAAATAAAAATTTCAAAGACAAAACTTCAATAATCGATAAACCCAACTTGAACTTCAAACACAATTGAAGCTCTTTTTATTCTTACAGTCCACAACCGCAAGCTCGGGCGTAATCTTATCGAAAACTATGAAATCCGATCATAGAAGAAGCAAAGGTAAATGAGCGATTGTAAAAGAAATGTTCAATCTCCTCAAAGACACCGCCATAAAATTGCAACTTCAAACATAAAGTACGAATAGAAATTACGAAAATTACAAATAGAAAACCAACCAAGGACGAGCTTGGCCTGAAATCAGCTCGCGAAAATGGTCGGAGGATCGGAGAGAACGGCTGACGCGACGGCGCTCGCACACTCCGGCTGGGTATGTGGACCGGGGATCACTGATGAGCTCTATCTAAGCTATAGCCTTTACGTTTCTTTTTTTTTTTTTGGGACATGTACGGTTTTTTTTTTGGGGCAAAATTGTGCTGATGTACCCTGAATTTATCGTTATTTGTATTTTTTTAACCTTAAATGTTTAGTCTATTTAAGACCTAAAATTTTATAATACTTCACAATAAATCCTTTCAGTAATGGATTTCAATTTATCGACAATTAGGGTCAAAAAAATATAAAGGAAAATGGTAAGAAGTAGACCCATATTAGTGTGTTACCCGTGCTAATAAAATATGTTATAAAAAAAATATTACATGATAAAAGTTTAGTCTATAAATAATACATATTTATTTACATATTAAAGTGTGTATATATAGATTTATTCATCTTTACTTTTCTTTCTTATTTCCGTTGTAATAAATAAAAACAAAAAAAGAAAAAATAGTTAAGAAAAAAGAAAATAAGGGATGCGACAACACGGAAAAATAAAGAAGTCAAAAACAATAATACAGAGAAAAAAAATAGATAGCCACGTGTTTAAAAGAAGAAAAAGAGAATAAATACATGAATGAATATATGCTTGATTTAATGTTAGTATTTTTGTTCTCAATTATCTTAACATGCATGAGTGAAAGTTTTTGCTGAGTAAAGGAGAGGACAGAATGTGACAACTTGGAAGTTTATTGATCCATTTTGCTAAACTTCGTGATTAGCAACTGACCTATGATAATAGGATTTAGAACTTGCATTCAATGATGACGAAATTTCTGCACCCGTGTCATCTAGCATTTGGTGGAATTATATAGTAATACTTAGTTTTCATATTGTTTACTTTTTGTGTACTAAGAATCAAGTACAGTTTGCTTGGAAATTTATTGTTTTTTATGTAATGTTGCTTTCTTTGTAGATAATGTTTTATCTGTGACCATTAGCTAATTTTTCAAGCTGGGGAAGAATTTAGTTCAGGTATTTGTCTTCAATTACTAACATAACGCATTATAAATAACTAAAATAAAGATAAAATATGTAAAGCTTATCTTTAACATTTAGAATCTCACTTTTGTGTGAAACAAAATATAATATTACACTATGGAATGAACTATCATACATGAATCTTTTTTTTTTTTTGTTGTTTAAAAATACAATCCTGAGAAAAGGCGTCAAATCTAGTACAATTAATCGAAATACAACAAAATTTCGTATGATTTAATGAATACTTAACACGACAATTGTTCTATAAACTCAAAAAACATTAATTATTATTTACATTACAACAATAATATAAGATACATGTTTTCCGTCAATACATAGTGAAAGACGATCTTCACTTTCTTCAATTGAATAATGAGGAAGAAACAACAGAAAGAAAGAAATTGAAAAAATAAACGAATAAACATATAAATATAACAGAACATAATACAGTAATTAAAAAATATAATGAAGGAAATGAAACGGAAAACTATTTGTAATCTTTTATGAATAAACAGACATAATACATATATAAATAAATAATGCATATAAAAAATAAGTTTAGGTATTGATCTTCTATTGCTAGCAAGATATATAAAAAATAATTGAAATATGATTCAACAATGTTATCGGCTGCCAACAAAATATATGATTTAAGTAAAACATTAAAAGAATAAAAACATTACTGAAAAGAAAACATAAACGGTAGGAAAAAAAAAAACAAAGAAATAAGATTAGATTTAGATAAAGAAAGTAACGTAAAAAAAAAAAAAACAAATAATGCTAATAAATTTAAAGATTTGGAAAAAAAATCAAAGAGAAAGAATAAGAGCAGAAGGACGACAACATAAAAGTAGAAGGAATGACGAAAATGCTAAATCCCTAAAAATCAGAAAGAGAAACCTAAAGGGAAAAAATATGGCACCCTGTAAAGAAAAACATGACAGTATAAATCTCAAATAAGTTGGGCAACATCAAAAGGTTCAAGTATTGATCTTCTATTACTAACAACATATATAAAAAAAAAAAAAAAAACTGAGATATTAAATAGCAATGTTTTTAAATGCCAACTAAATTATTAAAGGATTTGCACTAAATATTAAAAAAGAAAAACAGTAATGAAATGAAGAGAACAGAAAGAGCAGCAGAAAGAAAACAAAAATGCTAAAAATAAGAGCAGAAAAAGGAATCCCTAATAATCTGGGCAACATCAATAATAACCAAACCATTAATAACAATTATCTGATACACGGCAACATTAGAAGAACAATACATCATCATTACTAAAAAACAATAACACCTTACGGAAAAATAACCTATTGAAAGAATAGAATAACAAATAACATAAACATTAATACCTTATTATAATCAGAAAAATAAAACAAAAAAACATTTAACACGTCTATTAATAAAATGAATCATAATATCCGTATGTAAAAAAAAAATCTATAAATAACGAAGAACAGTTACAAACAAACAACAATAATAAGAAATCAATTGAATGAAACAAAATTGTTAGGACCCCACGAAAAGCGCAACCAAACCCAGAAAAACAGAAAATAAACCAGATGTGGAAAAAAGAAAAACGAAAACCGCAATCAAACCCAGAAAAACAGAAAATAAACCAGATCTGGAAAAAATAAAAACAGGGGAAAAAATGAAGCCAAATTTAAGAAAACAAAAACAGAAAATAAAACTACAAAATAAAATAAACATAAAAAATAAATCCCAGAAGCCGTACGAAAAGGAAAAAAAAAAGGGAAAAAAAGAAAAAAAAATAATCAAATGAAAAAATCTAATCCCAAATACCTTACTAACATATATGGAAAAACGGGGAAACAAATCGAAGAAAAAATAAAGCCAAGTCTATAAAAATGAAGCCAAATATAAGAAAAGAAACGGAAATAAATAGCAACAGAAAAGAACTACAAAGAGAGGAAAAAAAATAGAGAATACATATGCAGAAACCCAGAAGTTTCATGGAAATGAAGAGAGAGAGAAGAAAAAGAAAAAAAAATTTGCACGGAAGAAAGGGCAATATGCTAGAATGACTATCCAACAAAGTGAAATTAGCAAAATGACCTTCTTCTATTTTTTATGAAGAAAGACACTTACTCATTCTTTGTAAAAAGAGGTCATTTTGCAAATAAAAATTTTTGAAAAGTTATTTTACTAATAAAACTTTTTAAAAGAGTTATTTTTACAAAGGCCTCCGGTAGAAATAAATGAGGAAGCTTCAAGAAGGCATCCTATTTTGAAGAAGAAGATTACGGAAGAAGAAAAATGAAGGAGAGAGAGAGACGGCTACAGAAAAAAGTGAAAGAAAGCAAATCAAAGAAGAACAAACGAAATAAACAAAAGCATCAGTAAATCACCAAAATGGTCACAGTAAATAAACGCACAGAAATCTAAAATGAAGGGCAATATCATAATTTTACAAATAGGATATAACGGTAATTAAAATTTCAGCAATAGAAAAAAACAGGACTAAAATGGGAAAGACACTGTTCATTGCACTGTAGCATGAACAGTGAATCCCGTCCTCTCTTTTAGTATATGTATAATTTAAAACTTATGAAATAAATGATAAATTATCAATGTGTAAAAATTAACAGACAATTTCATGTTTTTAATTTTACCCTTTTCTTACTTTTTTTAGTAGAACCCCTTTCTTATTTTTTTCCCTGTCCTTTGATAAATCCAGGTATATTTAGGATTTATTAAGTTAGAGTCACTTAAAAAAAATAATACAAATTCTAATGGTAAATACTAGATACACTTGGTAAATATTTAATTTATTGAGTTCACATCACTTTTTTAAGAACCGTATAAACTTTAATGGTAAATCATGGATATACACGATAAATTCATGATTTACCAAGTTAGAATCACTTAAAAAAGAAAAGTACAACCTCCAATGGTAAAATCCTTGATATACTTAATAAATTCAAGATTTTCTAAGTTAGCATCACTTTTTCAAAAGCAGTACAAACTCTAATGGTAAATCGTGGATATACAAGGTAAATTCAAGATTTACCAAAAGGGTATCTTTGAAATTTCAGCTGGTTGTAAATCCGGGTTTACATCAAATTAGCATGTTATTAACTTCTCTTAAATATGGCCTATTAATTTTAATTCCTCTCAAATCTTGGTCTATTTCCCTCAATTTCCTAAATATAAATTTAAAAGGTTTATGGCCTAGTCTAGTGCCCGCCAACCAATGAAAAAATTGGGGTAAATTTGTGTAAAACTTTTAGACAATTCTCATTCATTAATTGGCGTTCATTAGTCATTGAATCATAATTGCATTATATTTTTAAATGGGTAGTTCTTTTTTTGCAGGCATTTTGGTCATTTGGTTCTTTTCAGGTTTAAAATCAACCATCCCAGCCCCAAAGCTAACCCCTGGGCGCCCCACTAGGCGGGCCGTGGGTTTTTTAACAACGTTTTACTGTTTTTGTCATTTTTTGAGGCCATTTTTTTCAGTCATGCCTAGAAAAATGTAAGAGTCGTGTCTGCAAAATTTCATAGTTTTTTACGTTGTTTTTATTTTATTTTATTTTTCAATGAGGAAAAATAAAGAAAATCATCAAAAATAGAATATTCATCAAAAAATGGTGCTGCTTGTTGAATTATTTCGTAAAAATTGTATATAAATTTTAGAATGCAAAACATAAATAAAAATATAAATTTTTGACGCATCCCGGCCCCTGAGCTGTCCCCTGGGCGCCTCACGACGCGGGCCGTGAGCTTTTTGGCAATGTTTTACTTTTTTTGTCATTTTTTGAGGCCATTTTTTGTAGTCATGCCCAAAAAAATGTAAAGATCGTGTCCGCAAAATATCATAGTTTTTTGACTTCATTTTTATATTATTTTATTTTTCAAAGATGAAAAATAAAGAAAATTATAAGAAATAGAATATTCATTAAAAAATGGTGCCGCTTATTGCATTAATTTCTAAAAATTGTATATTAATTTTAGAATGCAAAATATAAATAAATATGTAAATTTTTTACGCATCCCGGCCCCTGAGCTGGCCCCTGGGCGCCCCACTACGCTGGCCAGAGGCTTTTTGACAGTGTTTTACTTTTTTGTCATTTTTTGAGGCCATTTTTTGCAGTCATACCCAGAAAAATGTAAGGATCGTGTTTGTAAAATTTCATATTTTTTTGACGTTGTTTTTATTTTATTTTGTTTCTCAAAGTTAAAAAATTAAGAAAATCATAAAGAATGGAATATTCATCAAAAAATGGTGCCGCTTATTGCATTAATTTCTAAAAACCGTATATTACTTTTAGAATGCAAAACATAAATAAAAATGTAAATTTTTGACCCATCCCGGCCCCTGAGTTGGCCCCTAAGCACCCCACTACGCAAGCCGGGGGCTTTTTGATAGCTTTTTACTTTTTTTGTCATTTTTGTATCTCAAAAACCATTTGTGGGATTAACTCAATTTTTTGAGTCCTTGTTTGGTAAAAAATTTGAACCACAATTTAAAACTTTTAGATACAACTAGTTTGTGGGAGCACGTGGAGGGATGGCAACAGGGCGATTTAGGAACGACATGGTCTTTTTGCCAACCCGTCTTATGAAAAAACACTCACTATCTCTGCTCTACTAACCCACATAAATTGATAAGGTAATTAGGATGTACATATATGAGAGTATTTTCGAGAGAATTATTTGTGTAAAAACAAAGAAAAAAATAAGTCAAATACAAATCTATCGTATAGAGGATTGTAGTAAAAGTATTTGAGTAGGGATATATTCGTAAAAAAGTTTGAATTGAGAAAATTAGAAAAGAAAAAATAATTTAATGAAGTGGAAGATGAATCAATAAAGGACAATAATATAAATAAAAAAATTTAAGATTTAGGGTTAATCTCACAAATGGTCCTTGTGATTTTTTCTCAATCCCACTTTGGTCCCTAATTTTTAAAACATCTCATAATTAGTCCCTAAGGTTTTATTTTGTTTGAGTTTCAATCCTTCCGTTATTTAAGTGTTAAATATTTGATAGCATTTCTATAAATTATGGACTAAAATTGAAAAACAAAAAAACAAAAAATTATTTTAAAAACAAACAAAACAAAAATCTAAGATATATAGAGGATTGTAGTAAAAGTATTTGAGTAGGGATATATTTATATAAAAAAATGTTTGAATTGAGAGATTAGAAAAGATTAAACAATTTAATGAAGTGGAAGAAACATCAATGAAGGACAAGAATGTAAATAAAAAATAACAAAGGGTCAAATAACAAAGTAAGAAAAACCAAAAAGCTAAAAAAAAAAAAGAAAAGAAAAGAGGGGGGGTGGTGGACGGTTGAACACGCGTCATCCCCATACATTACCGTTTCAACGCTTTTAATATAGGTAGATGTTTTCTCTTAAAAACTTAAAATTCCGAAACTTTCTCTTCAAACCTGCAAACCAAACTAGCCAAAAATCTGTTGGATTATAATGAATGGTGAAAATTTCAAAAACATTCTCAGGGGTAATAACTAACAGTGGTGCTAAATGCTAATGTCAACTTCGGCCTTTAGAATGAATCATGGCAGGCTTCCCTTTATGACAGATACTTGCTTCTCCCTGAACCCCGAGGGAAATGGTGAATCTTTTAACAGGTACTTACCCCGTTACTAAGATTGATATATCCGGTGTCTAGGATCTTACCTCCTAATAGCTAGGCAGAGTTGCAGAAGAATGCTCCTAATAGTACACATCTGCATTCGTACAAGAATGGATCTATGCTCGAGTGCATAACCAAACCAAGAGCTGGGTAGCTAGTAGTTCTTGATCCTGTTAAAAACTAAAGCAGATAAATCTGCAGCTCTATATTAAGGGCACATAAAAGCAGCTCCAAGCTGTATTTAGTATTTACATAACAACGCGCGCTACTCTGTGCACACTTTGTGCACACAAGCACTAATCAAAACTTCCCTGATACTCAAAACTTCCCTTTTCATCTATGATCTATCTATGCCGAAAATTGAGAGGCATGACCCAATGGAAGTCACATTATAAGGTGATCCAATTTGCATTTTAATATACTGAACAATGAGTAGCAATATTTTTATATTCACATTTATTAAATCAGAAAATGAGGCTAGATAGTTAACAACATCTAAAGCAAGTCTAACCCATGAATGATAACAATCCCAGCTTCCATTATCATACGATGTTAGTAGTTCTCTTTCTACAGAGCAAAAAACAACGATCAGCATAAGTACTCAACAAAATTAACAAAATGGAAGATTCATATCATTTCGCAGAAGAGAACAAAACGCAGAAAAGGAATCTTCACTCAAGTGTGGATTTCATACAAAAGGTAGAATAAAATCAAAACAACTACCTGAATGATTTTATCCTCTTAAGACCCATGCATTTAAGTTCATCACCTGTTAACTCGCACCCTCTTTGTCCACCATGTTTCTCCATTTGTTCTTGAGATCACTCGGAGAACGGGTCTCATGAAATACATGACGACCATACTCCAAAATTTTCATCCAAGGAATCTTTACGTTTGTGTTTGGGCAGAAGTCTTTAATGCCTTCCTGTAGTATCAAAGTGGATGACAAAATTGAATGAGTATCAAATAACTGAAATGTAAGGAAGTTTCTCATGCCTAGATGTTCCAAGCTCAACTTCGGGGTCTTGTATCAAAATTTTCAGTTAACACTTTACAGTTATCCATGAAAATTTCTGAACAAAAACACTCTTTAAACGAATTTTTTGTCCCCCGGAATCATGAAGTACATGAACTTATGAATTGTGAGGTAATGCAGTTGGCAAGAAAATCACGATATAGAGCTATTTCTAAGCATGTTTTAAATAAACACGTGCATGTCAGCCTCACAAAAGGATATATCAAAAACAATTCCGTTTCATGTTTGTGTACATAAGACGAGAGAGAGAGATAAACACACAAAGAGATAGAAAGAGGAAGAGATTTTAGATTGAACTCTTGTGTGAAGCCAAAAGAAAATGTTTTCTGCATTTACAAGAAGAAGAATATGTTACAATCCTGTTATCTCTAAGAATTGTGGTTGGGGGGGGGGCACGGAGGGGGTGTGGGGTGGCGGGGGTGAAGAAGAAGAAGAATTAAATTGCATAAGCCAACAAATCATCATACCCTTAACATGTGCTCCTCGTCTGCTGTCCAATGTAATCTTGTCCGCCTTGCCACGGGGTTATTCACAGTTATGCTACATGTGGAATAACGAACTCACATTAAGTTAGTAGTTTTAAGCACATAATAAACTGCGCTGACTAATCATAATGTGTATAAAAACGTTGAATTTTCAGGATGGATACTGAAGACTAGCAACTATGGTGCAAGCAACCCTGCCGAAGAACAAAGCAATCTCAATCTCGTCAGAAATTAAAGTGTTTTTCTTAGGATAGATACACCTACTGTTGCTTTGCAGATTCTCGGATCTTCGTGGAGGTAGTTGCTTTCTCATAAAACAATGAAACATTTTTCTTTGCAGAGGCTTTTTGTCGCACGAATGCCTTCTTCAATTGAGGGGAGGATCTTATAGATGGACTAACATTTTGAACGCGTGTTGTCCTCCCAGCTCTACGTTTGAAACGCCCGTGACACTTGGAAAAAGAATCTGTTTCCGGTATGGCATTAGAATTTGCAGGGCTTTCCAATGTTTCTGGTTCCATTTGTTCTCCGTCGCCTCCTATACCTTGATTATTCTTGGATACCCTTACATTGGCTCCTTTATTTGAAACTTTAAAAGCACCATCTGCATTTCTCTCCCCCAAATCATCCTCTTTATCTTTACCAATTCTCTCATCCTCACTGTCATCCATCAGTCCTAAATCCTCCTCTTGCCCATCTTCTGGAGTTTCATGCCCACGCAATTCAGATAAACACACTTCACCCGACACTTCCTTTCTAAAACTTGCATCATCATCAATATTGACTACAGAAGTATTTGGCTGAACCACCTCATTTTCAAGCACAATCGTATCTTGATCAACGCATCCCGGTTCTACGTTTTCCATTCCCTTATGTTCATCTTCCTTCTCCACATCCGCAAATTGGTTCTTGACTCTAACGTCCTGGCAAATACCATCCCCTACACTCGGCACGTTACATGTCTCATTCCTATCATCTCCCCTGCTTTGTTTCTCCTTGCCTTTGTTCCCACCAACTTTGCTACCCTCAAGGAAAGTCAACAAGGCTTTTTTTGCATCTTTAACTTTCCTCCTCATCTCCCGAACACGCGCAAGAACCCGCTTTTGTTTGCAAAACGGGCAGTAGAACTTCCCCAAATCATCGAACCAAGGATTGCAGCCCATGCACTTCTCATGAACCCAAATTAAGCAACCTATTCCACTACAAACTAAAACTTGTTCATCTATCCCTTTGCATCTTATACAATTCCCTTCCTCTATGCTATCTTGACGATCATTATTATTCCCAATATGAGCATTCAAATCAACTTCTTTTTGAACCGTTGCACCAACATCATCGCCATTATCATTACTATCACTCAAGGTTTCTGGGACAATTTTCCGCGTCCTATCCGATTGTTCATGATTTTCAAATTCATCATCCTATTTAAAGATGAATTCACAATTAATCCAAAATAAATGAGCAAATTATGGACTCCAGAGAGACCCAAAATAGAGAATTTGGAAAATTACCGACCTGCCTAAGGAGTACAGGCAATGCCCGAGCAGTACCGGAGGAAGATCTATGAGAACGACGAGTAGGCGTCTGTGATAGCCGACTCCTGCCTCGACAAGTCTTTATTCTCATCGTTTTCTCCAATCGCCTACCAACTGTTCGTCAAAAGTCCTGAACCAAAATTAAACCTAAAACCAATCAACAATAATAACAAATCAATTACCGGAGCATAAAATCAACTAACCATTGAACGGAAGAAGAAGAACTAAAACCAATCAACAATAATAACAAATAGAAGAAGAAGAAGAAAGTGATCTTCTGCGAGCAATTTTGTATGAAAACTCAATTCAAATTCTTAATGAGTTCGAACGGATAGCGAAACGAGCGATTGTGCAATTTTGTATGAAAACTCAATTCAAATTCTTAATGAGTTCGAACGGAAAGCGAAACGAGCGATAAAATCTTGAGCTTTTCTTACTCTAAAAAGGTGCCAATTTTGTATGAAAACTCAATTCAAATTCTTAATGAGTTCGAAGGGATAGCGAAACGAGCGATAAAATCTTGAGCTTTTCTTACTCTAAAAAGATGCCAAGGAGAAAGAATCAGAATCGGCTCCCGCTTCAAAGTTCAAACGATATGTTTGTTTCTCAAGAATTTGTTCCTGAGCTAAGTTTTCCGCGCGATTATTTTGGTCAATATCAAGTTGTTCTTTATTGGGCTAAGTTTTCCGCGCGATTATTTTGGTCAATATCAAGTTGTTCTTTATAGTTTATGGTTTTTAGCGAGTTTGTCCCGAACTTTTTTGACATGTTTGCTTATCTGTAATTATGGTGGATAAAATTCAGAGTGAACGTGAATTAGAGTCAATAATTAGAATCAGAGCTGTTTATTTAAGTTTTAAGAATTAAAGTTAGAATCAGTTTCAATCTTATTAATGAGTTTACTAACACTTAGAATCAGAATAAACTGTTATAAATTTACTTACATACGCTTTTAGAAGATTTTTGTGTGTTGAACTTAAAAAAAATTATATATTATGTTAATTATCGTAATATTAAGATAACTAATTAGTAATTATATTTTTTTAATCACATCTAAATTTTTTTTAATTAGTAATAGAAATTGTAATTGTTTGCATCTCTCCGAATCTTTGAAATGATGTTGTGCAATCAAAGGGCAAAACATGGTTTGATCACAAATTCAACAAATAAACACAAAAAAAAAAAAAAACTTGTGGTTCAATAGAAAATAACCACAATGATTTATATTATTGACTCACCTTGATGAGAAGAGGAATGCTCTTAGTTGTTGTGGATGCAATGCTGTGTTTTGAGGAGAATAAAATATCAGAGGAAGTGAACAAGGTGATACGAGAGGTGTAAAAGTAAATTAGGGCATTTTCAATTTTTTACTTTTTACTTTTCTATTCACAAATTTGTTAGTAGAATTAAGGGTAAAATCGTAATTCACATTTACTATCAGGATTGAGAGTGTCAATCCGGTGGGGGGTGGAGGGAGTGTCAATCTCATTCCTCAACCCCAAATTAGTACGGGACCCACACACTCCCACTCCCATTTTAAGATAAAAATGGATAAGTAAATGTGGGGTTGATTCCGATTCTCAATTCCCATTCCCCACAATTGGTAAGTAAACATGACATTTGTCTCTTGATAACTTGCGTCTGAACTTTAAATTTTGCCATTCTACCCCTCAACTTTAGTGTTGCAATGTGCCTTAATAGCGACTCGAATGATTTGAATTAGGGTTAAAATTTTCAGATTAAGGGATTTTCAGTGGAGGCAAGACAATTTTTGGCAGACAATTGGCTTTTTTGTTTGCAAATTTAAGGGTTGTATTTTAATCTTTTTTTTTATCAATATGTTACGTTATTTAGGAACACGTTGTCAAAACCTTAAAATTTTGGGTTCTCTTGGATCCTCCTATTTTGTCCAAGTCCTTTAGGGGTTATTCTGTTGCATTTTTTAGTTAGCGTGACTTGAGTGTAGATCTTGAGTTGAGTTTGAGTTATAACTTGAGTTAAAGTTGTAACTTGAGTTTGTGTTTGGTTATGTACATTTGAGTTATGTTTGAGATGAGAATCTATTTAAGTTTGTATTTGCTTCTAGTAAGACTTGAGTTGTGAATAGTAGAGAGCTTTTTTTTTTCTTTTTTGAATTTATTTGATTTTTTTCCAATTGAGTATGAATAATTGGAATTAGATATAAATAATTCCGAAGAATGGATAATCTGGTAATTTAAAAACTACATAAATAAAAGTGAATCATCTATAAGTAGCAATAAGTTTACAAAAACAAAGTAGGCCTTTTTCTTCATTAAAAAAATTAAAATACCATAAAACATAAATAGTAGAAGTTTCGTTTCCATTATAATGGAGTGCAAAAGGACAACAATAAATGCATAAGTCATAACATAAGTCTACATACACCATGTAATATCATCTCGTAGCACATCAACGGCTTATGAATGAATTATTAGTGCGCACGACAGTGACGGTACACTGCCCACATTGTATGCGCCCTTGCATCCCTTAAGGCATTCATCTCCACTTCTGTATTATAATTCAATTGTTAACCCTCATGGTTGTTATTGTCATTGATGTCCTCATCAACATTATAGGGATCAATGTCCGCAACCGAAACGCCATCTTATAAGTACTGCTCTAATAAGGTGTCTCCATTACAATACATATGGATAAAATTATGTAATATAGCACATGCAATTGGAATCTTAACTTGTTTGCTCATGGGGTAACAGATAATGGTTTTCAAAATACGAAACTTGGCCTCCACACACTAAATATTCTTTCAATCACATTACGCAGTGGGGAGTGTGTGTAGTTGAACAACTCACGTTCACTATGGAAGCCTCTATTACGACGCTTCCTATACTCTTTCAAGTGATACGTTGTCCCCCGATATGGTGCCATGAAGCATCCGTTGTTAGCGTAACTCGAGTCGACGAGGTAAAATTTTCCTACACGTATACATATGATATTTAACAAATATTCGTGACGATGAATTATATGTAATGCCATCTTCCATAGAAATAGGTCATTGTTTCCTCACCTGGTAGCAGTGTTAGAAATCTTTTCCTCGGGTGATCTAAGGCGGATGCAAGTACTCTCGCATCGTGTGTCAAACCCTCCCAACCAGATAACATGTAAGTAAATTTTGTATTAAATGGGACGTGCGTACCGTCAAGTGCTCCAAACAATCCTTCACATTTACAAAAGTATGTCTGTATTTATATTATTATGTGTTAGTTAAACTTATTATGTAATAATTTTTTGTCTCATTATAAATTGCAATAAAATTTAGATGTGGCTAATTTAATTAGAGTACCGAACTTACGTCAAACCATGGCGAATACTTGTTTTCACTAGCAATTATGTGAGGGGATGTGAAAATTGCAAGTACACAATATCGTATACAAGTACTAAAGTAGTGAATAAAGTATTGTTCCCACGGAGACTAGCTGTACAATTACTGAAATTTATATTTTTAACTTTATCTAGACAAATAAAATTTCTGAGATAGATCAAAACTGAAAAGAAAGTAAAATAAAATAGCACAAATTATACGTAAAATAATTATGAGAAGAAATCAATGCAAAGAAAATACCAGAGCATACAAGTTTCACTAAGACAATTCCTATTTAATTTCAATTATTCGCTAACATCGCCTCCTATTCATGTAGTAGAACGAAAAATCCTAATTTATCTAATAGTCCTTCTAGGGATGCTATTAAAAATATTTCTAACATGTAAATTCACTATCGCTATATGTGAATCCCGCTATCTTAGAAATTCATTAGGTTCTTTGGTCTTTCTAAAATTGCTCTCGCAAGTCGTATTACTATCTCTCGATGTCCTATGCACCTTACGGTTCCTTTTATTAGAAGTTATTCCTAAAAATCTCATTCTGGGGTTTCAATTTAGTTTTTCAATTCAATTCAATAAGTGATCCGTTTATTAAAAGGATTGAGAACAATAAAAGAGACACATACATGAATGGAAAACTCTTAGCGAATAAACTTCATTGAAAGAAAATAATATAAATCAAATATTCATGTCTTGGCTACACTTGTAACCGTAGCCTAAAAATTTAGAACATAATTGAAAAAGAAAACATAATGACAATAAAATTTAACATAAGAAATTCATGAAAGAGTAAAACTGTTTGGCGAATTCGAAGTTGAACTCCATTCTTGAATGAATCCTCTTCTCCTTCATAGAGCCGTATTAGAGCCGTATTCTCTCCTTCTTTTCTTAGTTAAAAAGATGTAGAAAATAACCCTAAAAATCCTACTTATAGTGTTTTGAATCGTAATGGCATTGTCGTAAATTTCTGAAACTCCACAAGACTTAAATTGGCAAAAATTTGAAGTAGCGCCGCGGCCCTACTATTTAGGTGCCCTTGGTGTAAAATAATGTCATGGCTCCATTGCACAAAGCCTAGGCTCTCTTCTCTTGGGTTTTTGTACTGCAAATGAACCATTTCAAGGCCTAGACGCCATCTTTCAAGGCTGAGGCTCTCCAATCTCAATTTAGCTCTAAAACTTACTCCAATACTCACCTACAAACTCAAAATGATGCCAATATGCAAAACCAACTAAAATTACATAAATTAACTACTAAAACTACTCTAAAACCAACAAAACACGTAATTAGACGTATCAAAAGATAAGCATAAATCCAATGTGTCAAATACCCCCAAACTCGAGATTTTGCTAGTCCCCGAGCAAAAGAAAAGTAAAGAAAAGAAACTAATAAGAAATCGAAGTACAAGTGACAACTTGATGATTTGACAATCTTGCCTCAGAGATTCCACATAGTTAGTAGCTCAAGAGAAACTTTAGAAATCATATTTCATGTAGAATTTCAATCATATCGCCAATTTCTACCTCACTTAAAGCTCCATGAGTGTGTGTGTAAAGCTTTTCGCTATCAACCATCCGCACTCAGATCAGTTTATGTAACCCAAGTTCTTTAAAAATGGATCTCTTAGTTGAGATGTTTAGAACTCCATAGGCCAGTTTTTCACATCACTGTCCACTAATGTAGAACGAACACTACCAAGGATCATTAGGACTTTATTCGGCTTGTAATGTGAGGCTTGGGTTCAAGGTAGGATCATAGATACTTGTAACACCCTGAAGAATTAATTGAGATTAATTAAGATAATTGAGATTATTAGTGTGCCTAATCTGGATTATTAATTGAGTTTAATTAATAAATGTTTTTGACACGTGTGAGTTTAAATAGTTCCAAGGTATTTAAATTATTCTCAGTAATTTATTTTAACCCATAAGTGTGTATGGGTGCATTTCTGGACTGCTCTTTAAAAATATTGACACTTGTCCATTTTCTTTCCTTTTTCTTTTTCTTTTCTTTTCTTTCTTTTTTTTCTTTTCCTTCCTTCCTTCCCGTGCACTTTCTCTCTCTCTCTCTCTCACTCCCTCTCTCTCACTCTACCGTGCTCTCTCTTTCTCTCTCTCTCTCTCATTTTTGTCCCAAATCAAACGGATCTTGAACCAAGGAAAGATTTAAAGAAGTTTTCAACGTCAAGAGAAGGATTCGAGGTAAGATTACTGAAAGAACCTCTCTTGAATCTCAAGTTTTTTAATTTCAAAACTCATTTTTTGTTCAAACCGGATATTGATGGTTTTTGAGTAAAACTAGAGTAGAAATTGGAGATCTTGGGTTCTTTGGACTTGTTTTAGGACCTAGAACCCAGATCTAGTGGTTTTCCTTTGAAATATCTCGATTTGGGACTGGATTTGCAGGTTTTGGACTGATTTCCGCAAGCTTCTCTCGCGCAGCTGATTCCACCGGTCGACCGGATCACATGGAAACCGGTCGACCTATGCGGTCGACCGGATTGTAGGCTAACCGGTCGACCGGTTTGGTCGATCGGTGTGCACACTACCGGTCGACCGGTAGTGTTGCACTGCTCTGTTACCGGTCGACCGGTTGACACGGGGTTTGACCCTGATTGGCTTGAAATTGCTGTTTTGACCCCTGTTTTCGGGGAGAACCCAAATTAGTTTCATTTGGAGACTTGAGATAAATGGATTAGCATTGTTAATTCTTGATTTGAGATTGAAAACCCTTGGAATGATATTTTGAAACATGAAAATGGATTAGGGCACACTAATAGGAAATCTTGGTTGGAAATTGAGATTTGGATTGCTTTAGGAATGGGAATTAATCCTAAAGTGTTGTCTTGCATCAGTGATCGCTGAGGATTCAGACTGAAGGGGCTTGAGGAAGCAGAAGCCGGAAAAGGCAACGCTAGTCCCATGTTTGATCGTGCGAGGTAGGATTTCTATCCATTTTCCTTGTGAGCCTGTTTTCAAAAAAAGATTTTGGCCTTGAAAATATTTTAAAGAAATGGATTGATTTGTGAAAGAAAACGCTTTGAAAACCATGGCTTGTTTATTCATGGAACCTCATGGGTTGTCCAGTCATGGGGCCCGCGGCTTGAGTAGTTCGTGGGGTCGTATTAACGATTTCAAAATGTTAATGAATGATTTCTTAAACAAAGAGATCTTGTGAACTGGTAATAGAGTCTATTGCTGTAAGCCTAGATAGGATACGGAGAGTGCGTCCTCGGAGGCAGAACTCGAAACTCGGTCCGGGTAGGCGAGGCACTTGGTTAGGTGAGTAATTTGTACCAATTACTTGCTGAAGCCTGTAATATGGTTATTTTCAGTTATATCTCCTTTGAGAAAAAAGATGTGAGGTTCCGGCTGTTCCGTCGGGACTGAATGTCTTATTTTATTTACTTATTCATTTATTTATTCATTTATTTTAAGTCATTTCAAAATTATATCCTACTGGGCCTTTCGCTCAGGTTTTATGTTTTAAATGTATTAAACCCCTCCCATGAGACTCTAGGAGCGGTGCACAGTAGTTGGATAATTGCTACGGAGCAGCTGAGTTGTGCTACTGTTGGAATCAAGTGAGGATCGTGGACATTCTCTTGGACAAATGTAAGGAATTTGAGAAATTCTGTAAACTTATGTAATATTTGGATTTACTAGACTGTGGTTGATGTATGTTGTAATGATTATTTACATGAGCATGTATGTACGATATTGTATGTCCTGTGGGGTGGAGCCCTGTGTGTCAGAGGCTCCCGGATTCTGTAGTAATGTAATTATATTTAATGCAGTTAAATGTGGGGCCCGATTGGGAATCTGCTTTATTAATCCCTAATCGAGCTCCACGTCACCCACCCCGTTTGGGGGGCGTGACAATACTTCTTTTGGCTCGAGTCACTCACGTGCACACAATCATCCCATATTTTTTCCATGAGCTTCTTTAATTCTCCATAGTTCCCCCAAACTTGCTTTTGAACCTCTATTTATAAACCACAAATATTCATCATTAATTAATTTTTTTTTGTTTTTTTACACACCCCCAAACTTATTTCTTTACTTGAATGCACAAAGTGGGGAGTCTAAATTGTCAACCTTCAATATTTTTTTTTTTCTTCTTCTTTCTTCCACGATCCTCCCAACCTCCCAAAACTTATTGTACCTCCAAAATTTCTTCTCTAATGATCATATGCACATAAGTGAAGGGTCAAATGAGGGAATATTATTTAAAGTTAGGTCCAATTACGGGTGACAAAGGAAGTAGTCTAAACAAGCTCAAAAGGAGTACTAGGGATATGTATTAAGCATGGTTTGACTTGAAAAGGCTCAAACGATCCAAACATGGCCTAAATCCTTTCCCTAATATGGTATGTCCTAGGATTTCGCTTCAAGTGACAATTAAACCGGTTCTAGAATTCTTGTGAGATCAAAGAGTTTGCTTAGGTCACATAATCCTTCTTCAAGTAAGCAAAATGAGTAAACAATTTCAAGCTAGTGTTCAGAATGTCATAGAGTCCCAGGCAAAGAAAAAATTAACAAAAATGATCAAGCACACACACAAAATACAATATTCATCAATTTCTCCCAAGCTAAAAGCAAGCAAAACCAATCTCATCATTGATCTTGGTGTCGTCACTTTTACTTTTTTTTATTTGTGGAAAAGAAAGAAACAAGAAAATGAATGAATGGAATAGAAAGAAAAAATGAATGAATGACATAGAAAGAAAAAAGAAAATGAAACTCAACTAAACTAACCTATTCTACGAATGAAAGAAACAATCCCCCCAAACTTAAATAGAAACATTGCCCTCAATGTTTTGATAAAGAAAATAGAAGCGTAATTGACATACCTGGACGAGGGCCATGTCATATGTCCTCACCACCATTATCATCATCATTTTCAAAAACTGGCGAGAAAGGGGTAGATATTGGCGCTGAGGATAGCCAAGGGTTAGGGAATTCATTTTCTGGGTCTTCAAACTTGGACATTCTTCCTTGATAGTACTGTGATGCAATTACTACATTCCCATTGCTAGCTTTATCTGGTTCCTTCTTAGGGGGAATCTCACATGCTTTATCTTGCCTTTTAAATTGCTTTGGAGCCTTTACCGAGTTCTTTTCACACAATGTCTTCTTTATGTTGTCCATCCGGCAACAAGTCTCAGATCCTTGTGGACCCTTGAGTGGACTGAACGCATTGAAAGTTACTTTCTCATTTTTCACTTCTAGACTCAACTCCCCTTTCGAAACATTAATCACAACATTTCTGGTAGCTAAGAATGGTCGTCCTAAGATTAAAGGAATATCTTGGTCCTCTTCCACATCCAGTACTATGAAATCAGTCAGGAATATCAATTTGTCCACTTTTACTAACACATCTTCTAAAATGCCCCGTGAGTACTTGATGGAACGGTCGGCCATTTGGAGTAGCACAATTGTGGCCTTTAGTTCTCCCAAGCCCAATCTCTGAAAGACCAACAATGGCATGAGGTTTATACTTGCTCCAAGGTCACATAATGCTTTTCCAAAATATGAATTACCAATAGTGCAAGGAATGGTAAAACTATCCGGATCTTTTAACTTTGGTGGCAATTTCCTTTGAATGATGGCACTACACTCCTCAGTCAATGTGACTGTTTCAAAATTCTCTAACTTCCTCTTATTAGAGAGGATGTCCTTCATAAACTTCATGTAAGTTGGCATTTGAGCCAAGGCCTCCGCAAATGGAATGTTGATGTGGAACTTTTTGAATACCTCTAAAAATTTAGCAAATCGGTGATCCAGATTATTTTTCTTTAACTGTTGAGGAAATGAAATTCATGGTTTGTCCTTTTCTACCTACAACTCCTGCTTTTCAATCTCCTCCCCTACATTCCCACTTACATATTCTTTGTCAGTTAGATGTTTCTTTTCTATACTCGACCTCATTGGTGGATCTTGTAGTTGCAAACCACTCCTTGTAAAAATAGCCTTACACTGCTCTTTAGGATTAGCAATGGTATCACTTGGAAGAGAACCTTGTTGCCTTGATGAACTGGAACTTGCCAATTGGCCCATTTGCACTTCTAAGTTTCGGATCGATGTCGCTTGACTACTCAACAAGGTGTTTGTCTTAGCCATGTATTGCTTAGTGTCATCCATGTGTTGCTTAGTAGTCAACATAAACTAAAAAAACATCTCTTCAAACGATCTCTTCTTTTCTTGTTGCACAAACCCTAGAGGTAGGTTCAAGACATTCTCAGTGTTCTAGTAAGAGAAATTTGGATGATAGATGTTTGAATTGTGATTCCATTGTTGCCTATTGAAGTTCCCCATGTAGTTGGCTTGCTCCACCACAGACAAACAACTCTCATTTTCATGATTGGCTCCACAATATTCACAATAAGGAGTTGGAATATGCATAGAATTCACCCCTAGTATCCAGTTTATTCACCAAAGCAGCCACTTAGCTCGTTAGAGCCGTCAAAGCATCAACCTCAAGTACCCCTGTAGTTTTCCTCACCATAATTCGCTCCTTCGGATACTTGTAATCATTTGCAGCCATCTCATCTAGAAGATTGAAAGCTTCATCAACAGTCTTTCTCATTAATGTACCTCCTGCAGTAGCATCCACCAATTTTACATTGCTTATATCCAGACCGTTGTAGAAATATTGAATCTGCATCCATTTTTGCATCTCATGATGAGGACATTTCCTGCCCAACTCTTGAAATCTCTCCCAAGCTTCTCATAAAGTCTCCCTATTATGTTGCACAAAATTAGTAATCTCATTTCTCATCTGAATGGTCTTGGATGGAGGAAAGTACTTAGCCAAAAATTTTTGAGCAAGATCATTCCAAGTGGTGAAGTGATTTGAGGGATGAGAGTAAAACCAACTCCAAGACTTGTCTCTAAGCGAAAAGCTAAACAGTCTCAATCTTATAACATCCTCTGAGACTCCATTAAACTTCATGGTATCGCACAACTGCAAGAAACATGCAATATGAGCATTAGGATCCTCATTAGGCAAACCCCCAGACTGACAAGAGTTTTGAATCATAGAGATGATCGCCGGCTTCAATTCAAAGTTGTTGGCTTGAATAGCCGGAGTAGCAATGCTTGATGGTATCCATATAACATCGGGGGTAGAATAATCCCCCACAGCTTTGGTGTCAGGTTCACTTTCTGCCATATCAACAATCACAAGCTTTTCTTTCTTCTTTTCCCGCTTACATCTTCTGAAAGTCCGCTCAATCTCAAGATCAAAGACTTCAAGAGTTTTAGATCGTAGCATGCACTATAAGACACCTGACAATTTGTAAGAAAATAAATTAACGTAAGAGTCTAAATTAAAATTAAAAATACTTGGTATCAACATTGTTAATGCTAATCCCCGGCAACGGCGCCAAAAACTTGATATGAAAATTGCAAGTGCATAATATCACATACAAGTAATAAAGTAGTGAATAAAGTATCGTTTCCACGGAGACTAGCTTTACAATTACTAAAATTTATATTTTTAACTTTATCTAGAAAAATAAAATCTCTGAGATAGATCAATATTGAAAAGAAAGTAAAATAAAATAGCACAAATTATATGCAAAATAATTATGAAAAGAGATTAATGCAAAGAAAACACTAGAGCATACAACTTTGCACCTATCTAATAGTCTTTCCAAAATTGCTCTCGCAAGTCGTATTACTATCTCTCGATGTTCTATGCATCTTACAGTTCCTTTTATTAAAAACTATTCCTAAAAATCTCCTTCTAAGGTTTCAATTTAGGTTTTCAATTCAATTCAATAAGTGATCAGTTTATTAAAATGATTAAGAATAATAAAAGAGACACATACATGAATGGAAAACTCTAAGTGAATAAACTTCATTGAAAGAAAATAATATAAATCAAATATTCAAGTATTGGCTACATTTGTAGCCCTACCCTAGAAATTTAGAACATGATTGAAAAAGAAAACATTTAATGACAATAAAATTTAACGTAAGAAATTCATAAAAGAGTAAAACTGTTTGGCAAATTCGAAGTTGAACTCCGTTCTTGAATGAATCATCTTCTCCTTCGTAGAGCCGTCTTCTCTCCTTCTTTTTTTAGTTAAAAAGATGTAGAAAATAGCCCTAAAAATCATATTTATAGTGTTTTGAATCGTAATGGCATTGTCATAAATTTCTGAAACTCCACAACACTCAAATTGGAAAAAATTCAAAGTAGCGCCGCGGCCCTGGCCTGAAAAATAGCCTATCCACACGATGCTTCGAAGTAGAGCCGCAGCCCTACTATTTGGGTGCCGCGGCCCTTGGCGGAAAATGTCTTCATTGCATAAAATAACGCCATGGCTCCATTGCACATAGCCTAGGCTCTCTTCTCTAGGGTTTTTGTACTACAAATGAACCATTTCAAGGCCTAGGCGTCATCTTTCAAGGCAGAGGCTCTTCAATCTCAATTTAGCTCCAAAAATTACTCCAACACTCACTTATGAACTCCAAATGATGCCAATCTGTAAAACCAACTAAAATTACATAAATTAACTATTAAAACTACTTTAAAACTAACATAATACTCAATTAGACATATTAAAAGATAAGCATAAATCCAATGTATCAGTGAACGGTTTGAAAATCTAGATGTCTAATGAAGTCCTTCTTTAATTTGCAAACCGCTTCAAGAACTTTGGTGAAGTAATCGAGCGCTGCCAATGGTCTTGCACCTCCCTGTTAGTTTAGTTCTGACATAATATAGTGGGGAATATGAATAATTACTCGTTAACATTTAGGTGGATGGTCGGTTGCAATAATCCCCTCTCCTCAAGGATATTACTTAGATGCAAAAAAAACATCACTACTCATTCAAACTTTGTCATACATCACTAATGGATTGCCTTCTAGATAATAATTCACCTTAACAACATTTCCCCAGCCTGAAGTGTGCCTTCGGCGGAGAGATTTTGTGTGCACAAATCCAACGCATAATAAAGGCACAACAACTGCCACTTGCCTGAAAAATTCATCCCCACTATCATAGTCTGAATCACTAGAATGCATTGGACTTGAACTCCCACCTATATCCTGTGACGACCCTCCTATGAGGCCGCCACTGTAACTTAAACTTTAACTTGTTCTTACTGGGGTTTCTTAAAATTTGCGGAACATTTTTTTTTTTTTTTTAATATAAGAAAGAATTAATTTGTAACAATAATTTCAAATAAGTGAATCACTAAATTTCTTAAAGCTTTTCTTAATTTCAGTTAAGATAAAACGTTCTAAAAATATCTTTCAAACAGAGCAGCATTTGAACTCTTATTTCAAATACTCTTTAAAAGCCTTTCTAAAACTAGCCAATTCAATCAGGCCATTTAATTTTGACTTTAAAACGGATTTCGTGAGAAATCTTAAATTCAAGTACATCTTAAAGCCCTTTTAAAATCAATCGTTTAAATCGTCATGTTTAAAATTTGTTTATTTGTTGCATGCTCTGTTGCAACGTTCTAAAACTTAAACACTCAAAACGAGGGTTGTTAGCTACAACCTCGGTTTCCTTAACATACATATGTACCTATACTTTTTAAACATACATGCTTGAAACCTTTAAATCATATATACATATACATGATTTTTCTTAAACTTACTGCGGAAGATAACTGCG